TCTCTCGGTACACACGGCTCGGCTCTAGCGCGCGTTCCAGTTAGTATATATTTCAGTGGATAGGACACGAGGAATCATCGTCTGATTGGTCCGCCATGTTTATGCTATTGCCGCTGACTTTCAAATACATGAATGATAATGGTCGCGTTCAGCAGACACAACTGTTGAGTGAGCGCTCAGTATGATTGGTTAATACTTTTAGATCCAGCCAATCATGTTAAGAAATCACTGAGCGCTCACTCAACAGTTGTGTCTGCTGAACGCGGCCATTAATAACGAATAAATTACATAAGGCTCTAAAATGGCTGATGGCAGACAACTATCCGTAAAGGCCCTCACACATAAAATTCCGTAAGGACGTAAAACGTAAGCGTAAGAAAATCAACAGATTGGATTTGCTACTGCTTGCGTTATTGCCTTACGTTCTCGACTGTGATTGGTCGACTTTCTTACGCTTACGTTTTACGTCCTTACAGAATTTTATGTGTGAAGGCCTTAACTATAGTGAGATAGCGCATATATTTCTTTGGCCGCGTTCAGCAGACACAACTGTTGAGTGAGCGCTCAATATGATTGATTCATACTTTTAGATCCAGCCAGTCATATTAAGAAATCATTGAGCGCTCACTCAACAGTTGTGTCTGCTGAACGCGACCTTTCTCTCTCGTAGGATCGAGCATAAACATGGCGGACCGGTTTCGTGCCCTCCTATTTCTTTCTCTGTATAAAGTCACTCTACATGAGTCCATGATCCCAGGATCCGGCTACCATTTTGGCTGCCATTTTAATTCTCGTTGCGGCGCGGCGTGGGCACGAGCGGCACGAGCGAGCGAGCGTAGGAATATGCTAAGAGGTTTCCAAGATGGCGAAGAAAACGCAGGCCGAGAAAACAGCGCAGAACGACGAGACCGCCAAGAATAACGACGATCCGATGAACGACGATGAGGAGCCCAACTTCAGCGATCCCGAGGGCTTCGTTGACGATATCACCGACGAGGGCAAGTATCCACTAGCTTCCTCTCTTCCTTCCCCAACCTCACCCTGGCCCAGTGGACCACGTTGCACTTGTTCGTATCTCGTCGCACGTCAGTCGTCCGCGTATGTGTGATTCAGAACGCGCGCCCGCGCGCGCGTCTTCGTTTTGCAATGTGACACTTGCGAATCGTGCGATTCCACCCTCGGGGAATCGCACGTCCGCAACGATCTCGCAGGGAGCACCGATTCTTTCCCCGGTCACTTCCGGTTTGCAAAACTACACGGCCAGAAATTGCCGTCGCATGTGCTATTTTGCAAACGGTCCCTCTTCGGTACACCTACTTCTCTTCTTGTCTTATTTTTCTGTCAAGCCTGCGCGCAATGCGATCCATCGCTCCGGATGCGATTGGAGAACCGTGGCGTGTTTGCCTTTGATTTTATTCGGGCGTCGCTGCGCGTGAAATTTCGACTTTACGCGTAACACGTCGCCGCAATGTCCACTCGATAGTGACAATTTTGTTTTCTTGAATGTAGACGAGTCGTGACGGAACGCGTTCGGAAAACACGATGGTCGTGCTACGTGACGTGTAGACCAAATTTCGATTAACTTGGCCGGCATCGAATAATACTTGTTTATCTGATAGACATCAGCTTAACATACGAAGGGAGATAATCAGATTCAAGATTCACGAGTGATTTCACTTAAATTTTACCGATTGCACTAATCACTCGTTGAGTTAATGGGAGTTTTGGTCCATCCTTGGTCCATCCCCGGCTTCATCAACGTTGTTTAACTTTAAACTTAGCTTAATTCGTTCTTTGTTTCTTCCCAATTGTTACTTTAGAAAGAGACAAACGAATTGAACTAAGGTTCAAGTTGAGGGATGTCTGGGTGGGTGGAACCGGGCCTCAGGCATTCTCTCAAATGGTATAAAACGCGAGCAAAACAGATAAACTTGTTAAGAGAGCGAGCGGGTTTTGCAACAATGATAGACGTGTCTCCGTTGTGAACTTACAGAGCTACTCGGCGATATCTTGAAGCAGAAACCTTCGGAAACGGACGGGGTGGAGTCTGTTATCGTCGTGGATAATGTGCCTCGGGTGGAACCCGACAAATTGGAAAAGCTTCAATCTGTTATCAACAAGGTGCTGGGAAAGTTCGGCACTATTGTCAACCAGTACTACCCGATGAACGAGACCGATGGCAAGACTAAGGGGTTCGTCTACATTCTGCCGAAATTAAGAAAAAGTCATTAGTCATTATTTTACCGGTGTTGGTACGAAGTTGTCCTCTATCAGTTTTGCTCTCTTTTTTACTCTTTATGGCTGGGACCATATGGAGACTCACGAGAATCAGCCGTGATAGAAGGATGACTTTTACGTTTGACATACAGATTTTTATTTCTTGACGATTTTGTCTTACGTTTTTATTTGCTCTTTCAACAAGATCGCTGAAGAACACACGAAGAAGGATCGAAACGTTTGTTATTCATACATTAAAGAGAATTGTCTAACGTTGAAATCTCGAGAACCGAGTTCTGTTCTTTTTTTGGCTCGCATTCACTTACCACTTATATTTTTTCTTGGGGCTTTCTACTCGTGTTTTTTTTTTTAAAGAAAAGTCATGAAGCCATTTTTCTAGAACGAGATATCTCGCGGGACGTTTTTATTCGTTTCTGAAATATTTTCTCCCTCTTTGGCAGATACATTTTCCTGGAATACAACAATCACCTGAATGCACTCGCCGCGGTCAAGTCCACCAACAATTACAAAATCGACAAGTCCCATACGTTTAAAGTCAATCTTTTCACGGATTTCAAGAAGTTCGAGGATATCCCGGAGAACTGGGAGCCGCCGAAGGCTCAGCCCTTCAAGGCCGCTAGTGACTTGCACTATCACCTGTTGGAGCCGGACGCCTACGACCAGTTCTGCGTTCTTTGCGGCAATGGAGCGGGCGTGTCGGTGCAGATTTGGCAAAACTCCGCACCGGAACCCACCATGCTGGAAGAACGTAACGTGAGTAGGAAAGGTCTTGGGAACAGGGATTTCACTGGGCGATTCTTCGGTAAACCGCAGATTGCAACGAGTTAAATTTGTCACTACGAAGCTGTTCAACTTACCCCTCTCTCTCTCTCTCTGATTCCAGCGCTGGACGGAGACTTATGTGAAATGGTCACAGCTAGGTACGTATTTGGCCACATTCCACAAGCTGGGAGTCGCGCTGTGGGGTGGTCCTCAGTTCACCCAGCAAGCCAGATTCAGCCAGCGAGGTGTCGAGTGCATCGACTTCTCGCCCTGCGAGCGTTACCTAGTCACCTACACTCCGCGCACTGATCTCGGGCAGGATCAAAAGCGTCTCGTGATCTGGGACATTCTGTCGGGCCAGGAAAAACGATCGTTCTTCCCGGACGGCTCCTCCGTCTGGCCAATCTTCCGTTGGTCGCACGACGATAAATATTTAGCACGCATGGGAGAGGACGTTCTCAGTGTTTATGAAACTCCAGTGAGTGGTTTTTACAGTCGCGTTTACTTCAATTTACCACACTTGACTGACTATATTCATTATTATCGCTCGACGTTTTAAGTTTGTGACCTGATAATCACTGTTGTCATATTTAATCTCTCAGTCGTTCGGTCTGCTGGACAAGAAGAGCATCAAAATTCCGGGGATCAGAGATTTCAGTTGGTCTCCGACGGATAACGTTCTTGCTTACTGGGTGCCGGAAGACAAAGACGTCCCTGCGAGAGTAACTTTGCTCGAAATTCCTAAGTAAGTCTTGAATCCTATTCAAATCACCAGCTTAAGCGGTACTTTTTTAACCGAAAAAACTGTTCGACTTTCAGCCGCAATGAAATAAGGAATAAGAATTTATTCAATGTGGCCGACTGTAAGATCTTTTGGCAAAAATCCGGTGACTACCTGTGCGTGAAAGTTGATCGCTTCGCCAAACGCAAGGAAAAGACGGAGCAGAAGTACACAGTAAGTTGGCATTTCGTCATTTATCACGTACAATTTTGGCACTTCTCGGCAAGTTTCGAGTTTTGCATTTTCAAAAACAAGAGAGCTTGCGGTAGTTGTTATTATTAAAATATAATTCCTGTCAAAAATTATTCATATTCTACATTACAGGGTATGTCATACAACTTTGAAATCTTCCACATGAGGGAGAAACAAATTCCCGTGGATAGCGTGGAAATAAAGGAGCCGATTCACGCTTTTGCGTGGGAGCCAGTTGGCAGCAAATTCGCCATCATTCACGGAGAAATACCCACTGTGAATGTCAGCTTCTACGAAGTGCGATACGGCCATCAGCCTGCCCTTCTCAGTAAGTGATTAGATCAGAATGGGAACTTTTAATTTTTTTACACGTTCAAGTTAATTAACGAGTCTTTGCTTCATTGATTCAAGCTTAACATTCGTAAATTGCATTTTTCAACAGAAAGATTGGAGAAGAAAGCTTGTAATCATCTGTTCTGGTCACCGTCGGGTCAGTTCATCGTCCTCGCTGGCCTGACGACAATGGCTGGCGCTCTGGAGTTTATCGACACGAACGATTTTACTATTATGAACTGCACTGATCATTATCAAACCTCGGACGTGGAATGGGACCCGACTGGCAGGTAAATTCAACAGATTCAACTAGCCAAATAATATGAAAAGAAAAGCGTGTAAGCTATAGCGAGAAGTTAACTTTTTCTTCATCTCGATTAATTTTAGATATGTCGTCACGGCAGTATCCAGCTGGAAGACCAGCGTTGACAACGGTTACTGGATATGGACTTTCCAGGGTCGTATTTTAAAGAGAGTCAATCTGACCGCGTTCAACCAGCTGTTGTGGCGGCCGCGACCTCCGACTCTGCTCACTGCGGAGCAGATTAAGGAGATAAAGAAGAATTTGAAGAAATACTCGGCGCAGTTCGAGAGCAAAGATCGCATGCGATTGACGCGTGCTTCAAAGGTACATCTAATCTAATAAGATCTGTTAACTATCTAACACTAATAAGGAATTTTTTCTAATAGTGTTTTTCAGGTATTCCAGTTAGAAGTTGTTAGAAATTCAATTTTTGCATGCATAATTGTGAAGTAAAAGAATAATATATGGGAATGTGTTGTTGCAAAATGAATTTTTTCTTCTAAAATTCTTATGTGTGTAGGAATCGTGATTTATTTTAACGAGTTATTAATTTTCTAGGAATTAATTGAGAAACGTTGCTTGCTGATGAAGGCATTCGAAGAGTATCGTACGAGACGTGTCGACGAATGGAATAATCAGAAGAAGCGTCGTCTTGAGTTACGTTGCAGTAAGTATTTTATAAATATTAAGCTATCTATAGAATAGAAAATGTATATGCTAGGTGTACACCTTCCAAATTTATGAACATGTTGAATAAGGAAATTACTATATTATTAATATACTGAAAATAGGCAATATTTCTAATGTGATTTGAGAGATTATCACGTGTGTGCACTTTCAGATATTGATACTGACGAGCTGGATTCAGACTCGAAAAATGTGGAGGAAGAAGTTGTAGAATTTTTCGTCAAAGAGGAAACCTTCGTGATCGACGACAAGTAAACTCTCTTCCTCGGACAATCGTTAATCGCCGCGCCGGTTGCCAATCTTGGAAATCTCTAAGTGTGAATTAGCGGTCTGTTTCCACCTGTAAAGTGTCGCGATTGTTTGTCGTTGCAGCGATTGAATATCGCTGCAATTTATTTCAACCCGTGAACCATGAGTGGCAACAGACAATCAATCTTGTATTATTGTTACTGCTACTGCTATTATTACTATCACTATCGCTGTCATTACTACTTCCAAACCATTTTTACGTACCCGATGTTGCATAAGAAACGCCGACATCGTAGCAACATTAAATTTTATCACGTACCTTACAGGATAGCTCACGAAAAATTTATCACTGATTTTACACCTTCTACCGGCAACTTGCAGAATAAAATGCTAATTTATTACTTACTGAAATGAACATTACTTTCTAAAATTTGCAAAATTTATAACACATAGGAATTCAGAAATCCTAAGATTTTAGATCCAATCCTTTTCATATCTCATATAGCCCAACAATTTTATTAATATTGCTGTATTTTAAATAATTATGATTTGTAAATGACGGCTTTATATTAGGTGGTAAACTTAGTTTCCGCGGTGTTTTTTTTGTTTAACAAACTCATCTATTTCGCTATCAAAAGCAAAAAATACATCAATCAAAGTATTTGCCCTTGCTAGCTATACATTTTTCCCATTTTTCTGGCAATGAGTGGATTCCGCAACGATAGAACGATTGGTCTTTTGATGCAATCCATTCATCGATCCATTTTCGCACATCTTCGTAATTTTTGAAGTGTGTATCCACCAAGCCGTGCTGCATCGATCGGAACAAGTGATAATCTGAAGGAGCCACGTCTGGTGAATACGTTGGGTGCGGGAAAACTTCCCACTCGAACTGCATCAGTGTTCCCATTGCATGTAGACGTTTGGTAACAGCCATCGGAGTAACATTTAACGCTGAAGACAATTCTTGGAACGTTTGAGCTGAGTTTTCGTCTAATAATGCTTGCAATTCGGGGTCTTCAAACTTTTTCGGCTGACCTGAGCGTTGTTTATCATTCACATTAAAATCACCACTTTTAAATGGCTGAAACCATTCTTGGCATGTTCTTTCCGATGGGTCACAATTGCCATAAGCTTCGACAAGTAATTTATGAGCTGTAGCTGCAGTTTTTTTTCAAATCGAAGTAATGAAGCAGCACATGTCGAAAAAACAATTTATCACGTTCCATGTTTAATCAAAAGAAAAAAATGGCACTGTTCGTTTAAATGAATCTTTTCGCACTGAATTTTATTGACAAATGTCCAACTTTTAATATGCAGCCAGTTTTAGATGTCAAAGTAAATTGCACTTACAACTAGCGTTATCTAAATGTGAGCCGCGGAAACTAAGTTTACCACCTAGTACATCTGTAAATCTAGGAAGTAAAAGTAATGAAAAAAGTTCGTGGAAACGGTCTTATCGTTCGCAAATCGATTAAATATTAATACGGAAATCTGTACTTGTACAATATGTTACAGCTAGAATTAAATAAGTTTAGAATACGCGATTTGCCTTTCTCGCGAAAGCATTTTGACATTAAAAGTAGTAGCGAAAGAAGAGTACAACCGCGCACACCCAAGCTGGCGGTATTCTGTCTTGCCGCGTAAAAGTCTTCCTCGTGACAGGCTTAGCACAGGAAAACAATCGTGCCTGCTCTTCGTGTAGCGCGTTTTGTAACTTTTCGTTTTTTGTCATCACAGCTATTTGTGTTTCGAGGTCCCTGTTTACCGATCTGTAACCTAAACCATCCGTATTCGAATCAGTCTTATTAAAAATTTTTGCGAGAGATCATCTATTGCAATCTTATCGAAAAGTAAAATTCGAAATAATAAGAATTTATTTTTACCGAAGTTCGGTGAACCTATCAGTGTCAATGAAGGTTTTTTCTGATCTGGCAAAGTGTACCAAAGACCTTTAGCATGGTACGTCCAACCTGGCTTGATAAATTCCCACAGCGTTATCCTCGTTTGTTGATTCATTCTCTCGCATAAATTGTAAAAGGATTCTTCTATTTTGGTATAAGCTGCTGGTATTCCTCCGGCAATTCCGTTGGCATCTTAAAGGTAAGATTATTTAAATAATAAACAGTTATTAGTTTCTACAATTATTAATCCAGCTCTTTGAGAGAAAAAAAGTAAATTATAATCGTGCAAGAAAGACGCATCGATCTTACATAAATTTTAGTTTACGGAGACGTCCACATGTTTGGGACTTTAGAGAAATTTTTATTAATCGTTTAATGTACAACAAAGACATACTAAAAAAACCATTGGCAGTGGGATGCGCTGTCAAAATATCACACGTTGCTCGGCAATCTTTAAGTATAGCTTGACTATAGTCGAAAGTTAGATTGAAATAACCAGTTGCTAGTTTGAGCCTGGATCCTGTTGGGGCAGTTTGTAAGAGTTTCAATGTCACTTTGCTGTCGTGATGGATGTTCAGCTGGCCCATTTGTACTAATGGAAATATCCACGTGTCTGCGTCTGCGATAATGAAGGATTAAACAATTTCTGATCTCAAAGTAACTTTCCTTTTAATCTAGCTGGCGAAATATCTTTGTATATATATTTTTGTTTTGGACACAATTAGACAGGATATTCGGAAAAAATGGGACCCATCTATTATCTTCAGAAGTACACACTTTCGCGGAAAATCATCTGAATATGGGGGGGGGGGAGTCCCATTCTTTTCGAATGCCTTGTACATAAAATAATTGTCGGCATACTTTTGTCAAGATCAACATTCTTTTTTAATTCATTCTTTAAGAACGTTTGTATCTTGGATGCTGCTTCTTGGGTGAAAACCTTCCCGGATCCTTTGTAAGGGTGATGATTCGCAGGAGGATTCCAGCTCGCATTGCCATCCGGTTGTAGCAAAAAGCTAAATTCCATCACTTTCTCGATCAGTTTATTATAGAAGTCGCAAAGCTCCTTGCAATCTTCTATAATGAAATACCGATCCTGTCGATTTGTGAAGTAATCATTGCTGAGATTCGCTCTAACATAAAATAATTGTTTAATATATTTCTATGAGTGTATCATATTTGTAAATACACACTATATGGCTCATAATTTAGCTATTCAAATGGCTCTATTCAATATTTTTAATATTGACCAACTTTTTTCCTCTCGTATCGGCTTAATATTAATTTCGGTATAAATTCCGACATCTTTTTTCTTAATTATGGCAATCGTAACTACAAGCTTACCCGCTGATGATCAAGTCATTGTCGATCATATATAGCTTCATATGTTGCAAACCGACGAGCTCATTAAAGCGATCCGGGATTGCCGCTTTCATCACGCCGCGTAGTTTCGGCGTATGATAGAGGAAGACCTTGCAGTGATCTCCACATTTGCCTTTAAGCAACGGCTCCAGCATCTTTCGGGAATTCTGCTTGCCCCGGGAAGCTCTCATATAGTCTAGCAGAATCCGCACTTGCACATTGCCGCCATTCGTGCTCACTGCTTGCTCTATTACATTCACCTGCTCAAAGAAATGTGTTCTTTTAATTTTTATTGATTTATAAATATAATTTTATTTCTCGAAAAAAAAATTTTTTTTTAGTACGGGAAATTAATTATATTTCAATCCTCTCTTCATACCTTTTTCTTGTAACTTTTGTAGTCAATTCTCAAAACTAACTCGTGAGTCTTTCGTGCCCTAACGATTTCAATAACTAAAGATTTCTTGAAAACCTTCACAAGTTGGTAGACGGCTTCTCTGTGAGAAAAAAATTGTTGGCAGGGGCCTCAAAGTCAAAAGCTTGTTGACATCGGTCAAGTTTTGTTTGTTCATATACAAAGCGATTAAAATCGACGGTGAACACGAAAGACTCACGAGTTCGGTTTTCGTTGATTGAAACTGAAGTTTGGAAAAATTTTCCTAATTTTCATGCCTTTATCTGCCCTAAAATATTAAAATATATATTTGTGTATATACATTTTTTGCGTATTCTAATCATCACTTTTTTACTTCAGCAATAACAATTCCATATTTTTATTATCAACTATCTTAGACTTTATATTTAAGAACTTACACAGTGCTTACATTTTATAAGTCAAATTTTGAAAAGATTCAAAATTTTTAGACATGCTAACATACAATTGCTTCTAAAAAAAACCTATAAGTCAATTATTCAAAATAAACTTTTCACCAATTTCATTATCGAGACATTTAATTTGTACTTCAACGAACACGATTAATGTTTCATCACGTAAACTTTCTCAGAATTTTTTGAGTGGGTTATTTAAGGCAACGGCACAAGTACGGTTTATGCTAATGGCAGACAAGAGTTCGTTTTGAGAGTTAATTATCGCTAACTTTCTATTCGAAATAATTATCCTGCCAGGCTTCCGTTACATTTGTATACCCACCAGTTCCGTCTCCAAAGTGCCAGTGCCCAGATACAGCGAAGCGAGCGTGATTCTTCTCTTGGCATGTCTGCACTTTTCTAGCAGTGTGCTGTAAAACACCTGTGGCTTGTAGATTACAGTGACCTGGATAAAAAAAAATTTTACTGAAACAAACGTCCACGGTTGCGCGCACAATTATTTTACCTTCGAGCCATTCACTGGAAAAGCAGGAGCTACAGTGCGCAACCAGGATAGCAAATTAATATCCTCCTGTGCCACAACATCAGAGTCTCTTAACTTTTCGTCGTCCAGCAACGCTATTTGCATTTTGCACCTGATAAACGGCGAATCTATAGAAGTCCTTGCTTGTGCCGCAGTGCTCAGCAATTTTGGTTCGTGAAACCTGAGGAACATATAGATAAATAAATCGTCAAGGCAGTAAAAGACGTAACAAATTATCCATAATTATCCTATTGTAAAATCATGACGTCACAATGTGTACAACACATTTGCTATTATTTATAAGTTATAAATTATAACGTACAAAATATCATAAAATAATATAAAAATAATATGTTAATTTAAATTGACAGGCATTAAAAAAATTTAAATGTACTAAACCTTGTGTATTTCGACAAAATTAGTAAAAGTGATATAAAATCCCGTTATTTTTATTTATTACAAATGTTTTATTGTTATCAGTATTGTCAACTTATGTCACGCTATTCGTACGCAGCGTACATTAATTTATGTAAAATGTCAATTTTTTTTTTATATAACAAATCGAACGTCAAGCAGATTTGAAGGTTATGCTACGTTAACCTAAGACCTCGCGTGAAACACAAGTGACACATATCGAGCGATGCCAAATTAAATCGCACGCACCGTCTGAAAATTCGCAGAGCCGCGCTATGCATGAAGAGACGTTATTTTAATACGAAAATAAATACGAAAACTTCGATCGTCCACATGCGCGAAACTTTGATTTTCTATGCGAAACAACGAAGCGCCGCAAGTGCCACCTGTCGATCGTAGAGGAGATTTTAATTTCAAATTGGCGTAAGCTATTGAAGAAATTCACAATTTGTGTGTTTTTATGCGTGGAATATATTCTGAGAATGAAAATCGTCATTCGTGTATTGTTCTTATTTAATTTAATTTTAAAGTTTTATGATGTCGGTAAGTATGAAATTGATAACCTTCTGAAAAAACGCATGCACATGGCAAGTGTATTGTTCAATTAATTATTAATTATGGTCATAATTATTACTAATTTGACAATTGAATATTTTATTTTTCCACTTTATTTATAAGATTTGTTTTATATCAAGTAGCAGACACGTGTAGTACTAAAAAAACTATTGAGCTTACCGAAAATGGTAAACTGCAATGCGTATGTGCAGATGTCTCTTACATCTAACTTTAATTAAATTATTTGGTTATAAAAACGGCAATGTAGAGAATATTTATCACTATATTATCTACTTTTACTGAAAGCACAAAGCTATTCTTTACAGTAAGCAGAAAGTAGTTTTCTCTTACTTTAATCAGATTCAAGAAACAATAGACTTTTGCGCTTTTTCCGAAAATTGTTAATTGCTTACTCATTGACACCATAAATCTTTGAAATTTAATTTAAGAAAATTATACATGAGCAGCGATTTTTCTTCTCAGAATACATTCTACATACAAAAAAAAACACAAATTCTTGAAAAAATTACAAAAATCGAAAGGGAGAGCATTACATATTGTAGATTTTCTCCTAAAATTTGTTTTCTTTTGCGGTTAAATTCTTTATGCTTTGCTTTTTCTCTTTAATTATAATACATATTAGGCTTGTTTTCTGTTCCTACACTAGTGAACTAGTGCAATAAATTGGAGTAAGACAAGCATATTTTTTCTCATTCTAGCTTACTGCACTAGTTCACCAGTGCAGGAACAGAAAACAAACCCATTGTCTGCAGCTGTGGTCAGCGTAGTGGGAATTCTGTCGCCAGGCAACCAACGTGTACACACGAGTGCTATACACCTGCTTTATGTCAGTACTGTACGGGTAACTTGTAAATAATATCAAGATAACTAACAATACTACTGTAATTGAAAATCAACATGCTGCTGAAATATTTAGGCACCGTCATGTCAGGACAGGTGAGAGTGAATTGCTATTTTAAATCGACAACGTTTAAATCTTGAGGTTTCTACAAAGGAGTATCTGGCCATCTACGCATCTGAAGACTAGGCCAATGTAAAACGTATTCCTTCGAAAATTATTAGGAATAGAGATCGACTTCCTTAGTGTTTTCTTATTTTTATGGAAAAGATTTGAATATTACTCTCGAACAGAGAGTAGTAAAATAACTATATTTTACTAATCCAGCGAGAGAAATGACCCGTTGAGCGACGTCGAAACCGTCGTCGTTAAATCGACGTTAGTTATCGGGAAATGGAGTAGGTCATACGTGAATTTTATCTTTGGATTCCAGCAGTGGTAAATTATATGTATTATAACGCCCTCACCTTCAATTTTTGTAAATTTTTTAGATTTTGTGTGTTTTTAAGCGTAAAATATATTCTAAGAACGAAAATCGTCGCTCATATACCGTTTTTTAAATTAATTTTTAAACTTTTTTTATGTCGAAAGATAATGATAATTTTTTTACATATTTTTACAGCTTAAATTTTTGTTAATCTGTTAATTTATAATGAATATGAAATTACATAAATTTTTACAAAATAGTTTGCGCATTTCATTAAAATTGAGAAAAAGGATAAATGTTTTTTGCTTTAGAATAGTTTGTGCTTTTGATTAAAGCAGAGAATAATGACACATATTTTCTACATTACCGTTATTTTAATAAAATAATTTTATTAAAGTTAGAAGCAACAGACTTTTATATAATTGAAGTAAAGCGAGAAATATTGCAAACAATATTGCGCATGCGTATTGATATAAAATGAATAATATATTTTTAAATTATTATTATCTTACTTATCGACATCAAAAAAGTTTAAAAATTAATTAAAAGCAAACGGTACAAGAGAGCGACGATTTTCGTTTTCAGAATATATTTTACGTATAAAAGCACACGCATTCTGAAAAATTTACAAAAATCGAAGGTGAGAGCGTTATACTGCATATTTTACCTTAGCAATTTCTAGAGAAGCAATTTTTAATATTTTATATTGGAAAGCCTGACTAATTACCTACATATACGTATAAATTTATACGGATAGTCATATATTTTATTCCCATACAGCACGCATGTCTAAAAGACTGTGTATGTGTTATGTGTGTAAATTAATTAGGTGTCTTTTATCGCAAAGTTTAAAGTTTGTTCACAACAAAATCTACTATAAAGGTATCCGAAATGATCTTCATTATTTTTGTGCTTTGCCGCGTTTATTGGGCAACTGCGATACTTCTCGCAGAGGACGAATAACTCTCGCGGAAGAAACTTGGCGGTCTTGAATCGATAAAGTTTTCAAGACTTTTCCGGACCCTTTCCACTACCTTGAAATTGTATCAACCAGGTGAGACGTTGATGCGACCGGAACGGTTGGTAATCCAACGGGGCAAAGTTTGGCAATCCAAAATAAGGGAGAATTTTCCAGTCCAAAGCACAGACAACTTTCGTCCCCTTTGCGACATGTGACCGAGTTGACGTACTACAAAATGATTTCGAAAACTCTGATACCATTTTTTTGCACACTTTATGGATCACAGCACCTTCACCAAGGACAGAATCGTTTCTGCGACTTCAACAGCAGTTTTCTTTTAATTAAAATGCACAAGAAATGTCTTAAATGCAACGCTTCAGACGCCATCATGTCCATTGCTGTTTTGTGACGTTTTATCGTTCACTTCGTCAAGATACATGATATGTTTTTTGGAAACGTACGTAGAGATTTCTATCTGCAAGCGAAACAAGAAAATATTTAATATTAAAACGGAGTTATAAGGCATCAAATGTAAAGATACCGAATTAATTTACACATACAATAAATTTTAAATAAACATATTTAAACAAAATGCATGATGTAAGAATTGAATGTTCTCATACTTATACACATATTTACGTTTACATCTGTTAGGAGTTTGAAAACAGGGTGGTCAGCATAGCATGGTCGCCGAACAATTTGAAGTTAGCCGTGGCATCTTCGGATCGTTCCATTTACCTTTTCGACGAGAACGGCGTAAAGCGCGACAGATTTTCCACAAAGCCTGTTGATCCTAAGGTATTTATCCTGTATTTCCTACAGTTGTACTTTTACTTCGCCGACAGCACCGCCTACTTTTGCGATTTTAAAGTTTCTTAATTTAAGTGTCATAGAATATTATTAATACTATTAACAGCAACGCCTTTCTGGTCTACAGTTTGGTAAGAAGAGCTACATGGTGAAGGGAATAGCCTTCTCTCCAGAATCCACGAAGATTGCGGTTGGCCAAACCGACTGCATTGTATACGTATACAAAATAGGAGAGGACTGGTAATTAATTTTCCACAGAAAAACAAGTAAAAATAAATCGCTCACATTTATCATTAATAACGAACCTTATTGTTCAGGAGTGACAAGAAGGTGATTTGCAACAAGTTCCGACAAAGTGCCGCGGTGACTTGTTTGATCTGGCCAACCGACGGTCCGATCATCGTAGGATTGGCGGATGGAAAAGTCCGCGTGGCAATGGTCAAGTCGCAGAAGGCGCAAACCTTGTATACCTCCGACACCATGACGATAGCTTTGGCTAGCAAGTAAACTTTGCTTATCAGCTATTTTGAGATTTCGATTACGCACACAATCATCATTAATAGTTTACTTGGTATTTCCCTATGGTCCTCCTCTATTTACAGCGTCCGTGGCAACGGCTTTTTGTCGAGCCACGCCGACGGCAGCATCATCCGATATTATATCGCCGAAGACGGTGGCGCGGAGCCATCGGGACGCGTGTGCGTCCACGGAGTGCCCGCTTACGCCCTGGCGTGGCCGCAGTCGCACATTTTGGCAGCTGGTTGCGACAAACGGCTGACTATATACGACCCGTACGGCAAGCCGGTCAAAACTTTCGACTTCAGCCGGGACTCCCAAGAGAGAGAGATCACCGTGGCCTGTTGCAGCCCGAGTGGCCAGAGCGTCGCCGTAGGCTCCTGGGACAAATTGCGTATCTTCGATTGGACGCCACGAAGAAGCGTTTGGGAAGAGACCAACGTGCGCGACCTGCCCAATTTCTATACCGTCACGGCACTCTCCTGGAGACGAGACGGCTCGAAATTGATAGTAGGGGGACTGTGCGGCGGCGTCGAACAGTTTGAGACTATTTTGAGGTGACTGGAACTTGAAGCCACTGAACGTTCGACGTTTCAATACTCCTTGCACTTTACAGAACTTTGCTCTTTTGCATCTTTTCGTCCTTGAGAAGAATTATCGTAAAAATTGAAATCACCTTCTCTCTGAAACTCAATCAGTGCATTATCACTGAAAACTCACTGTTGAATAATTCAATAGTGCTGTACTTGTACCCAAGGGACACGTAATAGTCAAATGCCATCATTTTAAAGGGATACAACTTAATAGTACATAAACTTTTGTATTACCCGTTAAAAAATTGCTCATGCATGAACGTGAATAAATAAATAGAATTATATAAAATTATACTTCAAATATGTCCATACATATGTGTCCATACCATTTTGAGTCAAAATAGTCACTTTGACTTTTTATTGACTTTAGTGTGTTCCTTGGGAAACTGTGAATATTCGCTGTTTTCACTGATAATCCACTGAGTGACTTTTAGAGAGCTGATTTAGGAGTGTCTTATAATCAACGCGTAAATCATATTTCATTTTACTCTGTAGAATAATTTGTAATAACTGAAAAACAGACGACTGTTCATCTATCAGTCAAAGTTGCCTCGAGTGCGTATCGCTGTAAACTTTTTATTTTGCAGACGCACAGTAGTTCGTGGTAGTCACGAGGTGGCCTACGTGGGCCCCAGCCAAGTGGTGATTCGGCCCCTGAACGACTCCTCGCAGCGTCCCATCGTCATCAGATCGCAGACGGGTCTGGAGATCGAAGACGTGCGCGTCCTGGGGCGCAGGGACAACAACGTGGTGGCTCGGACGGCGCACACTTTGTTGATCGGCGACATCGAACTGGGTCTGATCAGCGAGATCCCGTGGGAAGACCGGTCTGGCGGCGAGAAGTTCTTCTTCGAGTATCCAGTCGTATGCTTGATCTTTTGCTCCGGCGAGCTGACGATCGTCGAGTACGGCCAGAACGAAGCGCTCGGCTCCGTGCGCACCGAGGCGGTGAATCCGCACGTGGTTAGCGTGCGCGTGAACGAGCGACCCACAGCTGGCGGGGACGATAATAAGAAGCTGGCCTATCTGCTGGATCCAAGAACTGTTCGCGTGATCGATCTGCTGTCCGGCGCGACCATCAGCATGATCGTTCACGACGCTCGCGTCGACTGGTTGGAACTGAGCGAAGCAGGTCATCGGCTGCTGTCGCGTGACAAGCGAGGCCGCCTTTGGCTGAGCGATGACACGAGTGGCAGGTAATTACATCAAGTATACCCGATGTATATTTGATATACAAGATCTTTCGCATCTGTCAAATAAGATTGTACACGAAATTACGATATTATAGAAACTCATTTCGATCTTGAGACGATTTTTATTAATGTAGTCATCAAATAACAATTTTATTTACTGGACTGACTACAGTAATTCTGTCTAAATAAAGCGTAATCAAAATATTGATCTTTCAAGGTACTTTTGTATTATTTTGTATTAAAATAATTATACCAGGCTTTCTTGTTCTATAACCATTTCTTATTTTCAGAGTCTTGTTGGTGACCGGGGCATCCTTTGCCTCCTGGGTAACTGGTAGCGACGTTGTCGTCGCTCAGACGGCTCAAACATTGGCCGTTTGGTACAACGTAGACGCACCAGAGGCGGTTACGCTGACGCCGATCAAGGGCGACGTGGTTGACATTGTCCGAGAGGATGGTCGGACGTCCGTGATGGTGGAGGAACACGGTGCTAAGGTGGCATATCCGTTGGATGAAGGATTGATCGAATTCGGCACCGCGTTGCACGACAATGATTTCGGCAGAGTCATCCTGTTTCTGGAGAACATGGGCGACGGTCCGCAAGTGGAGACCATGTGGGAGAACGTCGCTACAAATGCGATGAACGAGAAGAAGCTCATGATAGCTGCCAGGTGCTACGCTGCGATCGGCGACGTGGCTTGCGCGAGATTTCTGAAGGAGACTGCCGAGGTTTTCCCCTTTTGCAATAAATACCTCAGTCCTTCTTGGGGCACAATAATACATCTTCTCTTTCATTATGTTGCAAGATTGGTGAAAAGTATGCCGAGGAGACGGGTAACGAGCCACTGAGCAATCCGGACTGCTGGGCCCGGCTGGCCATACTGAATGGTGATCTAAAAACCGCCGAAGCGATTTATTTGGAGCATAATGAGCTAGACAAGGCGTTGGACATGTATCAACGCTACTGGCGCTGGGAGGATGCCCTAAACCTGGCTCAGAGTCGTAACTGGAGTGGCTTGTCAGAATTGCGGGACCGTCACTTAGCTTGGTTATTGGACAGCGGTCAAGCGGCTCGCGCGGCTTCCATCATAGAGACTACGAATCCCAGGAGGGCCGTCAAGCTTTATCTGGAAGCTCGCCGACCTGGACGAGCCGCCAGATTAATACTTGCCGACAACGAGTTACTGGAGGACGAAAGAGTCGTCGAGGAGGTCATTAGTGGCCTCAAGGCCACCGATCTCGCCGAACTCGCTGGGGAACTGCTGGAGAAGACCGGCGCCGGTTCCGAGGCGATCAAATGTTATGCGCAGGCCGGTGTCTTCGCGAGAGCCCTCGACCTAGCACGTAAAATTGATCCCACCTTGGTGGTTGAATTAGAAAGGGATTGGGGAAAACATCTGTCGGCCAGTGGCCACTACGACGCCGCTATCAATCACTTCATCGAGGCAGGAGAGACGGTACTAGCGTTAAAGGCCGCTATTAATGCGCGACAATGGCGGAAAGCTTTGCAAATTATTCAGGTGCGGTAATACTTTCAACGTATGCTTCATATCCTACAGTGTTTATCTAGTTTCGTGCTGTTTCTTTAAACCTTTTCTCACTACGTATATTCTTATTTTACATTTTCCTCTTCAGGTGATCGAAGACGACAATGAGGAAATCCGCCAGCAATGCGAAAAGCTGGGCGAATACTTCTCATCGATCGGCGAACGGAGCTTGGCAGAAAGCCTGTTTATTCGCGCCGAAAACGCCAAACGCGCAGTAGATATTCATATTCAGTCTGGTGACTGGATGCGGGCGCACCAAGTGGCGCAAGAACACATGAAGAGCGACGAGGCCAACCAGGTGCTGGCAAAGCACGCCGAAAACCTGCATCAGACCGGCGAGCTCCGCCACGCCGAGTCTCTCTACGTGGCGATCGGCGACCATGATGCGGCAATTGCTATGTACCGCAAAGCGGGAAACCGCAGTGACATGATCAGGCTGGTCTCACAGCACCGATCTGACCTACTTCAAACTACTCATATGCATCTGGCGAGAGAGCTAGATACAGCCGGCAAGCCAAGGGAAGCCGAAGAACACTTCCTAGGTTGGTTACGGATTTAAACCATAGTTTAAAGTTATGAAAAATAAATTTTTTCTTCCTTCACACAATAAATGAATTTAATCCTTGTAAACTTTGATCGCGTTTACTGTCCACGTGAAAATCGCTGCAGTCGTAACATCGACTGTGTAGTTATAATATTTTTGTCATTGGACGTATAAAAAATTAAAACATTGAATTTACAATTAAGTTAGTTGGTACATAAATTGTGTTCTATCTTAGGTGCTGGTGATTGGCGGGGGGCGGTTACAGCTTACAGATCCGCGAACATGTGGGAAGACGCACTGAGAGTCGCCAAAAAAGCTTCGGGAGAAAAAGCGGCACAGCAGGTTGAAGTTTATACAGCTCGGTTGTCTCTTTTATTCCTCTTGTGTTAACATCAAGTTCAATTCTTCTTGCTTTTTTCAGGTCGCTTTAATGTGGGCGCGAACATTAGCCCCGGAACTAGGCGCAAGACTCCTGATGCGACTGGGTTACCTGGAACCCTGCCTGCAACTGGCATGCGAAGCCAGCCTGTTTGACTGGGCCCTGGAGATCGCCAAATACGGCACGATAGACCAGAAGAAGGAGGTACACTACCGCTACGCAATGGCGTTGGAGGACGAAGGTCGTTTCGCCGAGGCCGAGAAGGAATTCGTGCAGGCCGGCAAGACTATGGAAGCGGTACAGATGTACATCCACAGCCGCGACTGGGAGTCCGCTGAAGACGTTGCGCGATCGCACAGCCAGGAAGCTGTGGCGCAGGTCTTGATCGCCCGCGCCGCCGAGGCCGCCGAGGGCCAGGATTACGCTACAGCGGAGACTCTTCTCCTGAGGGCCCACAAGCCGGAGATAATAATAGAGCATTACAAGGTTGGCCACCCTCTTCCGGATTCCCGCGAACACTTTTGTTTCTTCTGTCTGACCATATTAAAATTTCAGACAGCCGGAATGTGGTCCGAGGCACTGCGAGTATGTCGAGAATATTTGCCCAGTCAGGAGGCGGCACTGCGCAGAGAGTTAGGTCAAAGGAGTGCAGGACTGGACGGAGCAAACGCATTGGAGGAAGCTCGGAAATGGCTCGACCTCGGGGAAGTACGACCTGCCTTGGACACCCTAATATTGAATCCGCAGGCGCCGAGATCGTATCTTATTCGTGCGGCTGACATTCTTCTACATCAGGCGGATCCCGAAACGGCAGCGGAAGTCGGCGGTGACCTGGGTGCGCGCTTATTTTCCGTTGGTGAATATGCGCTCGCTGCTCAGGTAATTTTTCCTTTTTATTAATAATGACGCACTTATTTAATCGAATTAATTGCACTCCAAATTAAAAGATTAATATGAGGTTGCACTTTGCTGACACGTTCTTCATTTACTGAATTAAATTCTGAAGGAAGATTTAACATAAAACAATGAAGCGAAAAGGCTGGAGAATTGAATGCCTCAGATTCACGAGGTTTCGTATTGCTGCAGGTGTTCCTTCAAGCGGACCGACTGAAAGACGCGGTAAGTTCGTTAGTGTCGGTCGGCGAGTGGGATCGTGCGCGACGAATCGTCCGCGAGCTCGCTCCCGATCTTGAGCCATATCTGGAGGAGAAATATCGAGACGCCATGACGAACGAGGGTGAAATGGAACGGCTGGCAGAAGTGGACGGTAACGCTGCCCTCGAGATGATGGCGCGCAAAGGTCAATGGAGTCAAGTGTTCGACGCCGCAAGCTCGCAAAGTCCGGAGGTGCTGCACAGATTTGTGGCACGGCGCGCCGCACAATTGCTGAAGAACGACGCAGCGCCGCAAGCCTTGCAACTTTACGCGCAATACGGCGCACCCGCGATCTCGCAGAACTTCAATCTGTATTTGCAATTGGCCGAGAGTATCCTGAATGCGACGCAGCAAGAATACAGGTACTGCATCTTGCAACTGACGAGGGGATTTACCGAAAATGTGCTGCCATTTCTTGGTCTCCATTATTTGCATTTATTTATTATTCGAAAACTATTGAGAATTTTGCAAAATGATATAGGACTTTTCGATTCGGTTTGTCTCGTTCTGTTTAACTTCTCCGGCTGATCCGCGCATCGCAGGACACTCTGTAGAATGGGCTGACAATGAACGTTGCGTGGGTCGTACGAGCAATGACACATGCGAGAGAGAGAGAGAGAGAGAGAGAGAGAGGGGGGGATATCTCTCTCTCTCTCTCTTTCTCTTGCTAGTATCTCATTGGTCTTTTTTGTTCTTCCACTACCAACAACTATTAATGAGATGTTAGCATGAAATGCAGTCATAGGCCTGTATTTCTCTCTTTCTATAGCGTGTGCCATATGTCGATGGTTCATTATGAGTTGAAAATATTTTATCGTAGAATCTATAGAATGTCTCTTTGCGGATTGTTCTTTTATTAAAATTGGAATATATCTGTTCATTTTGTGTTTTTATTTGTTGCATTTCTTCATTTATTATTCACGATTAATCCATTCCAGATATCTGGCACAACTCCGTGATATTTTACACGGTCTCTACCGTTCCTCACCATCCTCCGAGAAATTCGAGCGTCTTCTGGAGGCCGCTCACTTCTCGGCGGTAAAGCACGGCTGCCGTTCGTTTCCGACGCTCTCTGGCATTGTGGTCAAAGCGTCGGTCAGTCTTCTGCGACACACCGACATTCTTCACGCCGATAGATACTACTACGAAGCCGGTGTCGCTGCCCGTACCGCCGGTCTACTGAGCGAAGCCTTCGTTTTCCTGAACCATTTTCTTGATCTGGAGGAGTGTATCGAGGAGCAAGGCGACGGCAACGTCTTAGACGTGGACGATCTGCGTGTCACAGACTTTCCGTTAGAGGTCCCGCTTCCAGAAAAACTCGCTCTCACGACAGATCAACGCGAGGAGGCGAGAGAATGGGTGCTAGCGGTGTCTATGGACCAAAAGATCGAGCAAGGTCTACCGGTCGACCAGAGAGGCGTGTACGTGGGCTCTGTAACATCGCCCGCAAACTCTGGCGCGCCTCTTCAGCAATGCGTAATCACGGGATACCCTGTGCGCGGCCCGGTTATCAGATTTGACGAAACCAGCCGCGTGGCTGACCGCGACGACTGGACCAAATTAATGAATACGGCCCGACAGGCATCCCCGGATTCTCCGCTAAACGACATTTTAGTATTTCTTCAAGACTGGTGCGGCACAGCACCCAAGTACTCGTTTTAAAAGAGGAAACTTCAAACTTTTTAGTCTTAATTGGAAGTTAATGAAGATAGAACATGATAAAAAAAATTAAGAAGATTACAAAACTTTGGAATGTAAGTGATGGGGTATTGTATTGATGTGCGCTTACACTCTTAATTAGCTGTACGTAATAACGTTCTTGGCAATATGTCTCATTTTACTTACGATTAGTCGAGATCTGAATTATCTTCAGAAAGAGACTTATATCTCTTTAATAAAAATTAATTATTTCTATGTATTTATATATTACTATTTGCTTCGATTACACCGCTGACAAGAATTTCGACATTAGCCTGAATGATTTCTTACAGATTTTTTCGTGCTGAATACAAATCCGTTCGTAGAATTCCTCTGCACGTCCGAATTGTGAGATAAACTCATTATCGGTTATGCAAATATGCTAAACGTGACCATTTTGATCAATCATAATTTCCTATTCCAACATATTGCTACGACGACTCAAAATGTATTTGTACTTCACACACACACACACACACACACATATATGCAATAATTTACTCATTCTTGGCACTGCCCAGAGCTAACGACGCGGACGTGATGAGTCCCTAAATACCGTAATCAAACGAAAATGCTGCAAAACTTAAAAAATTCACGTACTTTGCATCCGCCATTTTGGGTCGGTCATTTTGAATTTTGAAAATCTGACATCGGATTCATAATGAGCGGCCCCGAAAACCCCCTTGTATAAAATTTTCAAGAAATAATTTTAAAAAATCAATAATCAATTTTTCTCAAAAAATTACTGCTTTTCATATTTGTTTATTTATAAAATGTTTACAATAAATATTCAAGACTCTTCGACTTTTTAAAATGTTCTTTTATTGCTAAGATACCCAAAAGATGCAAAAAACCCGACTTAAATGCGTTAACTAGAAATTATATGGCTAAAATTCAAGTTGGGATGGTAACGTAGGTTACTTGAAAGGGTTAACTAAGTTTTTCTTAAAATCCTGACGCGCTACAGGAATTCTGCATGCGGACGGATTTGAATTCAGCATGGAAAAAATCCATAAAAAAATGATAGGCTTCAGGCTAGTGCCGAAAAAAGTTAAATTTTGTTCATCACTGCTATAAATGATCTCGCAGAGAAGAATATTGTGATGAAGCAGCATCAATTCATCAGATTATCTCCCGCTAATCTTTCTTTCAGCTAGATAGAGCGTTGGTCCCGCAGGGTAGCTCATGAAGGGATTTCAGAGGTTGGGCAACCGCAGATGATAATTAACCGCTTAGCAAATATGCTCGGCTTTGGTGCATTCCATAAGCCAAAAAGCCGCCCGTGGAATTTGGCGGTTCAAAGTAAAGCAAATACACGCACACGTGCTCGCATGTGCACACGCGCGCGTCATATTGACTCGAAATCGTAAACGGGCTTAACATACGCCGCGGGAGACGCGCGCTGTCCCATATTGCTTGATGTTTAACATTCGGCAGCGTCAAACGTAGCAAGAGCGTATTATTTCCTATTTAAAATAATCTTTATTTTATTAATGAAAAGAACATTGTCGAAAAATGTAAATAAATCCTTTATATGTTCCGTAATATCCGTTAATAAATTAATAAATCCAACGCGGAGTAATATTAATTAAAATATTTGCTTACACACTCGCGTGATTCTTTCTCTATTACTTTTGCCAATGTCTCACTTTTCGCGTGAGCAGTCATAAACGAGAAAACAAGAGTTGGGAATGCGATGAAGACCGTAAAAGTATTAAAACAGATTCAGTACTTAAGAACAAAGCAAACGTAACTTGAATATTTAGCAAGCAAATTTCCCTTAACGCATTTTCTATCTTACAAGCCACGCGCAAAGAAATCTGTTCGAACAAAGTCAGATAAAATAAAAACCGATAAGTGTATGTATATACACCGCGTTTTACGGCCGTTACGTTAATTCCCGCGTGGCCGACACCTTCGATTTTCCGATAATTACCGCATAATGGTGCCTATACAACTTTCAGACGCTTTAAGCGGTCTGAAAAGGCGCCGCAGGGAGAAAGAAAGAAAGGGAGCAATGAGAAAACGCGGCGCCCGGCCCGATCCTCGCCTTTCTCTGGGAACTCGTGAAAGCGTTCGTTGATCGCCACCATTAAACGCCCCGCGATTAATTTAAATAAATGTGCCGCCGTTATGAGCGGGGAACACTTACCTGTGAGGGATGGTGGATATTCAAATGCGGACCTCTCCGCTGAAAAGTCGTCGAGGACTAATCTTCTGACGGATCGCGGGATTTCCTTCTAAAATATTCCTACGAAGAACTATGGGAGTGACTTAATTCCAGGATTACGTGCCGGAGTCTTGCCGATAGAATAGAAGTTTATACCAGAGTGACGTGGAAAATATCGAACAGTTTAAAATAGTTTTAGTCTGCAGTACTCGATTTTATCTATAAGATCAAATAAAAGTATAAAGTTACACATTGATCAATTTATCGAAATGTATATTAGAGATCTCGAATTTATATAGAACAATCTACTTTATACAGTCATACCTCGATTTTACAGGTCTAGATGTCGGGTGTAACAGAGAAGTAAAAATACGCGTTGTGGGCATTTCATATTGCATTTACTTATGGAAGCATAGCGTACACTCGCTTTGTTCAAGTTTGTTTCAAGGTATCGTGCGGTCTAGTTGTACACAGAGCCATTATTCATAGTCGAATCTTATATTCAAGACCGTCTTGAATTTATCTAAAGATGCTGTATGGAACATCTCGTTGACTACGGAGTATCTTAAGATGACCTTAAGACGGTCTTGAATATATAGATCTGATTATGAATACCGGCCAGAGCGTTTCTATGATTTTTGAATTGTGACTCTATATTTATTAAATAGTTTTGTAATTCTTACAATACTTAAAATGACATTAAAGACTACATTAAAGATTTTTTGTATTAAAAACGAAATAGTAAAATTCGATTTAATTGACTTGTGACCTTAACGAATACCCCTTCCCTCCAATCACTCTGTTAAATCGAGGTTTACTGTACGTACATTACATGTATTATAATAGGTAAAAATAACCCCACGAGTTCCTATAAACTTTTTTTTATAACGCTTCTTCACAGAGATATTTGTCTTTAAAGTTAAAAATTTCTGAAGCATTAAAGAGCCGTAGAGCTGCAGAGTTTGTAGAGTGTAAATCTTACGGAGTACAGGGCTTAGAATTCAAAGAATATACAGATAAAAGAGAGCAAGAAGGGTACAAAGAACGAAATATACGTTAAAAAATTGGTGTATATAATAACAATAATATATATAATATATATAACGTATATGAGTATGTATACATGATTCTTATTACAACAGCTTCATTTTAGTCTAGCCTAACCCAAACCGCCAGAATCAGATTCGAGCGATCGCTTATATATATGTATAATATGTATAATTATAATATATTATTCATAATATATTAACATCTGTCGTCTTTCACGTGTCTTCTTTGAATTCTTAACTATTTTAAATTACAAAAAGTGGTTACCCTAAAACCCACCTTACACCCTTTCATTTCGAACTGGACGTCTTCTTTTCATTCCGTGCCTAAATTATACTGGATTATTGTTTATTTGAATATACGCTAAATCTATATCTATGTATATTTTAAGATGTATATTGAAAAACGTTGAAAAACGCGTGTTCAAAATGACGCATGTCCAAAATTTTGTGTTGCACACGAAAAATTCAAATCTATCAAATTCTCGGACATTAACCCTTTCAGTATCAAATATTAAGTGTATATTAAATAGAATATTAAATATAATACATCGATAGAGCAGTAAATGTAGAAATTTCAACGGTTTCTCTTCATTCATCTATAACTCGTTGTACGAGTTATCGGAAGAGATCTACACTCTGCTATTAAAAGACTTCGAGATAAGAATGGAGCGAGTCCGTAATTCGTAAGAACTATTTCAGGTTCGACTTTACGTGGAACTATGTGCATACAAACAACGGACGTGATCCACTTTCACTGCGTGAGCTTTTTCATTCGACATTGTAGAACCGTGTTAACACGTAGTTAACATCGGAAAAGCTCGTTTCGCAGTTAAGATAGCTGTTCCCTTTATTTAACACACCGTAGAATTGTATTGGCGCAATTGCCGATATCTTTTATTTAACAACATAAAAGTGACGTAGTTATGATGTTAATCCTTCGCTTGGGACTGCAGAATTGCGCCAAAGCTTCGTTTAACGTCGTAGAAACCTACAAGCTTGCATGTCGCTTCGCATGCGATGTCCTAATCGCCCTGATGGAAGTATTTTGCTGAAAGCACTGTAAAATCCACGTGTCCATGAAAAATGAAGTGAAAGTTATTAAAAAATTACTAAATGTATCTCAAAATGAATCATAAGCCGGTATTCATAGTCAGATCTTATATTCAAAACCGTCTTAAGATAATCTTCGGATATTCCACAGCCAATGCAGCATCTTTAGATAAATTCAAGACGATCTTGAATATAAAATCTGATATAAATACCGACCATAATTTTCCTTACGAACTTCAATGAACTATACAATATAAAACAACTTCAAGTATACCGTCGAAAAGCAATGGAAAAAAATTATGAAATATTAGATATTGCGAAATTTACCGAATGTAACTAAAAACTGTGTTATTTTTTTATGAAAAATTTCTGAAATAATTTTTCATTAAATTTGTACCGACAATGATATAATATTACGAATTGAGGGAGATTTTCAACAAAATATTTCCATCGAGCCTACATTCGAGGGAAATCGTAAAAAAAGCTCGAACGCAACGTTTACGGCGTGGATACAGAAAGGGTTAGCGCTGTATATTATCATCTTGAAAGGAATTCACAGATAATCGCGTGGCAGTCGATTCTCGTTTCGCGTGAAGAGCTGCGCGACGAAGGAACTTGTTCAACGAGAGAGACACACCCGTCCCCGCGTCACGGGATCGCTACTGGATCGCGAGAGACGCACGATCTAGGGACAGAGTTTGTCTCATGATAGCGCTGGCGCCGAGCGGTCGTTAGTCTTCGTCTTTCGCAGCTTCACAGTCGCAAATATGTTACTCCTGAAAGGCGTTAATTGCAGTTAATCGAGGCTCGGGATGCACATCCGTAATTGTTGGACGATCACGAACACGAGCTGGAATTTCCGACGGGCTTCTTAGAAATTTCGGAACGGGTGGCTTTCTTCCTCAAAAGTACACAACGAAGAGTTTCTATTAGTACCCAATCGTCTAATTTGTGATATTATTTGGTGACTTTTATAGAACGAGCAAATTCAATTGAAATCGATTAATCTACGACGACTAGGTCCCCTAAAAATTCACAGATATTCGTTGACAAATTATATCTGACAAATGTCGATCAAGACTGGCCTGGCCGTCGTCTTTAACAGTTTGTTCTCTCCAACGGTAATATACAAATATTTAATCAAAGGCCTTCTTGAATTCTGAACGTATGTATATGCGGAAAATACGTGCAACATCAGAGTAATGCAATTGAAGCGACTGATAAAACTAAAAAGTGACAAAAGTTTGCAAGAGTTGCGAATGATATCTAGCGAATAACTTGTACTACGTCAGCGATAACCGAAGGAAGCTAACGCGTGCAGCAGTGGCACACAACAACACGAGTTACGATGGCGATGTATCATCCAAGTCACTGTGTTTCGAAGAGACAAATCGCCTAGAAGTCGTCGCAAAAGTGTATCGAGCGCCTTCTTCGACGATGCTGCAAGCTCCTACAACATCAACAGCCGATCATTGAAGACGACACAAAGCACTAGAAAGGGATTAGCCGACGCAAACATCACAATGGGATGTTGAGTCAATCATTCAAGGGTTTGCTCATGGACAAGGTGACGACAAAGAGATTCACACAACAAACAAGATAAACCGGAAGAACTTGGGAGAGTTGAGGTGAAACGAAGATGGTAACAACTGCGAGTTCGATGCTGATTCAGGTTTGAATCCAGTTTCGCTCGCATATTATCAATACATCTAAACACTCTAAACTAAAGAAAAATCAAGATAAAATTGCGTGCAGTGGAAGCCTTCTCTACTCCTCGTCTTCTTCGTCATCTTTCACGAGTATGACGACCTGAGACTGATTGCTTTTTCTCCTTCATTGCATCCATTCTATTATCTGCGTTCAATGTCTGCCTTTCTCAAGAGACACAACTCTTCGTAATGTTTTGAAGTACAACATATCATCATCTTCAGTATTTTCTTCATAACAGTTGTCGCGCTTACTGCTGCTTCTGCTTCTTCTTTTTCTTGTTGACAGATGCGTCCATACCCCAGAGATCGTACCAGGGTCCACAGTTATTTCTATTTCGATCGGACTCCCTTCTCAGTTTGGTCCTCGGTAGCAGCGTCTTCTCCGGTATGCTCTGGTCCTTAACGACGATGCAACTGTACGTGGACTCCTCGTCGGAGGCCTCGGTCTCGCTGAAATTCAACGTCGCGTCCTCTTCGTCGTAGTTTCTTCTATCGCGCGGCATGCCTTGCCGCTTGCTCTCGTTGGTCTCCTTCAGCTCGGCCACGATCATGTTGCGCTTTGCCTCGAGACTGCGCCTTCGTTCCTTCTCGATGATAGCCTTCCGCGACACATTTCCGACAAAATACGTACGCTCCTCCTGCTGCTGCTGCTGTTGCTGCCTTCTGTATTCTGATCTCTCCGTGATCTTGGACCGTTCCGCCGGTGTCGGAAAGTCCTCGAAGTAATCCGCCTTGTCGGGCATGTGGCTTCTCTCAGCCGGCTTGGGCTCCTCGTGCCGGTGCTCGTTCGTGATGGTGCCCTCGCTGTTGCCCAGACTCGAATTCGGACTACCGCCCTCGGAGTTCCTCTGGCGCTCCTCGTTCTCCGCCGTCTTGTCCTCCTTCCGGATCATCTTTGGGATATCCACGAGCGAGCGGTGTTGCCAAAGCGCCATACCCTCCAGCACCTCCGAGTCCCGGCGGAACTTCCAAAAGGACTTGGTTCGTTTCACGAGCTTCGGGCTCTTCGACTCATCGTAGGCTCTTCCGGTCTGCGAGAGATGGCCCACAGCGATCGCTTGTCGCGGCGACACGGACTTCCGCTCGACTTTCAGCGTATTGTTATTGGTGTCGCCGTTACTTCGCTCATTGATCCTCGGTACGGCGTTTCGCTTCTGAAGACCCGTGTGGTAACCGTGTCTCTCGATCACCTTCGTTCTCTCCAGCTTCGTCTCGAAATTCGATTCGTAACCGCGATCCCTCTCGAGCGAGCCTATTCCGTACCTGCCGGTCTCTCCGTAAATCACCTCCTCCTTATCAGAGTATCTACGCTCTCGGTAGGGCCCCATCGAAGGCCGTTCCGGGGCCTCCTGCGACGGCGGCCGCGGTCGTTCGAATCGCCGGCTGGACAGTCGCTCGACGGTCCTGTTGCGATTCTTCTCGAACGTTCGTTCATACGCCATCATTTCCTTCCGCTGTTCCATGTATGCGCGCTCCTGCTCGTTCCTGGAGCGGGCGTGGGCTCGCTCGTACGACTGCGTGTTCTCGCGGGGCCGCTGGAAACCCTGCTTGTCCTCCCTCGGGAGATCGAAGACCTGCTTGTCCTCCCTCGAGCGCTCGAAGCCTTGTTTATCCTCCCTCGTACGCTCCACGTTCTGCTTCTCCTCTCTCGAGCGTTCGAAGCTCTGCTTGTCTTCCCTCGCGCGCTCAAAGTTCGGCTTGTCCTCGCGGGAGTTCCGCTCGAGCGAGTGCCTGTCGTCGCGCGCGTGTTTGTCGTCACGTAAACGCGTTTTGTCGTCGCGACGAGCCTGATCCAGGTTCCTCTGCCCGCCGTCCCGACCACGCTCCAGGCTTTTGTACTCCATTGCGGGTCTCTCGCGACGATCACGCGGAAGAGTCGGCTCGCGCGTCTCTCTCTCGAGGCTCTTGTACTCCGTCGCGGCGGATCTCTCGCGACGCTCGAGGAACTTCGGCGGGCTGTGCTCGCGCGCATACTTCTGCGCGGTCTGCTCAAGCTTCTGCGCTATATGCTCTACCTTGCGGCCCGGCTCCGGTATGGTGATCGTGCTCTCGTCGTCCGAGTCCGACGACGAGCTCGTGGACTTGGCGTATTTATCCGCTTCGAAAGCGCCTCCTCCTCCTCCTCCTCCTCCTCTTCGCTCCTGTTGAGCTTCTTGGTTGTCGGCGTAGAACTTGTTGTTACTACGATACTCAGCGCTGAAGTCCTCCTCGTCTTCGAGATCGTCTTCCTCGGTTTCCGCCTGCGTCCGCTTGTCGACGCGCCGCTGATCGCCGCGACGAGTTGCGGCGGGAATACCCCGCTCGTCCGTCATCTTGGTACGTTGATTCGGACTGGGACGTTCATTTGGCGCTTGCGCAGCCTTCTTGTTCTTCCTCTTCTTCGTCATGTCGCCGTTCTCCAACGCGAAATCGCCGTTCTCCATCTCGAAGTACTTCTTCGAGTCCTCGCCCATCTGGTTGGCCTTGGACTCCGCCCAGAGGTCCATCGCTGTGCGATACAGCTGCCAGGACTTCTCGTCTCGCGGGATTGTCTTCCAGGAGTCATTCTCCCAGTCCTTCGACTGCTTCTCGTCCTTAGGGGAAGGACGGTCTCCTCCGCTGCGCGGCTTCCGGCGCCGTCTGCGTGCGCGGCGCGGTCAATAAAAAAGAGAAAAAAAACGGGGGCGCGGAAGAAAGGGATCAGAAAGGGGGAGACTGTTGGAGATGCGGAGGACCACCACCATGGCGGTTTATTTCCAGCGACCACGATAGCGCATGCGGTATCTACAAGAAGGAGAGAGATTTTCGAAGAAACAGAGATAACTAATTTTCCGAGTGATAGATGAGCGGCCGGAAAAAAGTTCAGCTTGTAAAAAATTTAAATAATTTGTTTACAGTTGATGCAAATGTGTAGGAGGTATTAAAGTAAATTGAGTTGCATCGGGGTAAATTTTAATTTTTCCTCCCCTTGATTGAAAGATGAGCGAACCGTAGCGAAATCGTAGGTGACGTACAATACAACGCAGGAAAATTAATTATTTCCCAGCTAACGCCTAACAGTTGCATAACATTAACATTATAATTTCTCACTCAACCATATAAACGTATAATGTAACACATATTGTACAACGTAACAGTTACAATCATTGTTGAATAAGAACTTACAACGTTGTTACATAACTGCTGGTGTTTACTGGGTTAGCGTTCATGCAACATTGAAACCAATTGAGATTATATACTAAATATACATATAACAACAGTTATAACCAAGTCAAACGTACGTGAGAAACTCATTTATTCAAGTTGCAAAAAGAGAAGAAGTAAAAGAGTCGATAATATATTTTACGACATTTAAATTAAACTTAAGGAATACCGAAAGGTGAGGTCTCTGTCATATTATATGTACAAACTTGTACGGTCAGGAAGATAATCAAGGTAATCGCTAGCCGAGATAATCGCACAAACCGAGTAAGTGTCCAAGCGCATTTTGACTTGGACTGTAAATAACGTCATGTCGCACAATCAGCCATACGCGCGGCAATCAACAAGCAAGCAAAGTAGATTCTATTCAAGACCGGTATTGAAGGATCGTGACAATTCGATCTCTTTCGCTTTATCCGAAATTAATCACAGTTTTTTCCGATGCCGGAAACGTGCGTGAATGTAATGCGCGCGTGTGGCTACAGTATCCACCACCGTCGAATTTTTATTCCTCACAATAGCGTCGCAAACCAATCCAATTGAGTGCCGCGGGTGGAGACGGCGAAAGAGGGGTGAAAATCGCACTAATTACAGGGAGGCAGTAGATAGCGGAACAGCGGGGCTACAATGATACAAAGCCTCAATCACGTTGAATAGGGCAAAGCGGGGGGTGCGCTTATCGGCTAGTTATCAGGGCGTGATGCTCGGGGAGCGAAGGTATCAAAGGGCCCAAAGTACCAAGTAATAAGTGATTCGCCTGGTATCGGACGTCTGCGGATGAATAATGGCAGTCTACGCGTAACTGATGTAAACCAAGGGTCGAGACCGGCTCAATTATGCCGAGGTCAGTACCCGGTGTTACACGGACGTGCTAGGAGGCCACGAGCCAATTACCATTTGCACATTGTCAAGAGTAAAACAAAGAGATCATTTTCGCGTCCGTGTCCCACCGAGATTTCATCTCAGCGAAATTTTATCGTTCCGACCGTGCAAGCCTACGTAAACTGTGCTGGTTAAAATGACTCGGGCAGCGTAGCTGCTCTTTCTTCGCCGGACACGCAGGCTGTTTAAATTTACGATTTCCTTGCCCGCGCAACCCTCCTATTAGCGTGGGTGATATCGCAATCGATTATTGCTCCGACGTTGCTTTCAAACAGGATCAACAGAATTATGTCTCTTCCCACGCGCGCACGTAAGCTCATTTTCCCTATACATAATTTACGTGGCTTGCAGTTTACATGAAGTACACGGGGAAGTCTAACTAATGTAACGCGAAGAGCAGGGATGACTTTGCAGCCCGGGGCGTAAATTTTCGTCTTACCTCAACGCCTCGTCGTCGCTGTAATCGACGTCGGGCTGCACCGGGGGCTCGTTGGAGAAGCCGCTGTCGTTGCTGCTGTGGAGGGACGTCATCGCCGGAGGTGGCACCGGGGGCACGGGCGGCTGCACCCTTCGCCCTCCAGCCAGCACCACGGGCAACGTGCCCGATGGACGGATCTGAAAGGCAGACGAAACGATTCCCTCCGCGTCTCACCCACTCCGCATCCCAATCAATCTTGGGGCTGCGACGTGTACACGTGAGAGCGTTCTACGGTAAAGTTTACGCCAAGTTTACCCGGACTGGCGCTCTGAGGAAACAATATCGGCGGAAGACGTCGGAACAGCCAGAAGGAACCGCCGAAATATTATTGATTTTTCAACATGTATTTCCACATGCGGGACTGGCACCGAAACGTTCGGAAAGATTTTATGCGATAGACGCGGACGTTACGATTCGACGGCAGATTGAGATACGAGCTGGGTAACATAAGCGACAAATAACCGCGAGCGTTTGCCAATACGTCGATTGGCTTAAATGTGTGGAAGTGCGACATGAATGAAACTAGCTTTTCTATAGCAATCAACGCAATTATTGTGAAAATAAAGTTTTGTGAAAGTTTTAAGGACGGTAGGGGGGGGGGGGCATAAAGTTTCGAAAGGTAATTTCCAAAATTTCAAGTAGAAAATTAATTAATTCATTTTGCATCATCAGATCGTAAACGCAACGTCGAGAAAAATGACGGAAGAAAGGATCGAACGCGTAGGGGAGTTCTTCTCCCTGCACCACACCTTAGAAAAACTAATCCAATTAATTTCCTAGAAGCAAAGCATTATTCTGGGTAAATAGCTCTTCGAGAATTTTACCATTTAACGTTTACGGGAAAAAACATACTTTTGAATGTTAACACTCAAAACTTGAATGTCTTTTCCGTAAGGGAGCATTAAAAAAAAATTCTCAAAGAACCATTTACTCGGAATAATTATCTTCCCTGGGAAATAGATGTGGTCAGATTAATTTTTTTTAAGGTGTGGAGTCCCTTCCCGCGTAAATTTTCATATACGTAAGCTGTTAGAATTATTATAAGATCTCCAGCCTTCAAAACCTTTTGTCCTCCCCCACCCCTTAATAGTTTTATAATAATTCTGCTAATTACTACAAAACTATATAGCGTTTTCGTTGGACTGGGTAAACTCCTACGCGTTTACTCGCTGGTTTACTGTCTTACTGATTTCGATTGACGCGCGGTTGGAGTCGCCAAGACGCTGCCGGAGTTGGTCGGCGTGCCGGCGTTGCTGCTGCTGTTGTTATTGTTGTTGGCATTAGTGCTGTTGTTAGCGGAGCTGCTACCGGCGCCGATGGTTCCACTGGATGGTTCGTCGATACTGGCCGGGGTGACCGGCGGTCGTGAGGGTGGCGGCTTACACGGAGGTATGGCTTGCGGCTCCGGAGTCCTACCGTTGCTCGCTCCGTGACTCGGCGATCTTCGCATAATTAAATAGCGCAATGCACGTGAAAATCCGGGATACTAATCCGAGGGATTATCAAAAATCGGTCGACAAGTTTAAATTGACAGTACCACTCAGGTTCACAAGTCGATGATCAAATATCGGTTGTGAGTTTTAGGGCCGTTTGATTTGATGACGACTGGATCCTTCATTGATCTTTGCAAGAAGATCGATAGAGATCCGCGTAATATTTTGTCGATATCTTGTCGACGTATATTTAACATCTATAGATGAATACATGTCAATTTGATATACAGAAGATATCGTTTCAGCGTCGACTAATTATTGATGATTTAGTCGATACACAGGGTGACTCTGAAAGGCCGCCCACTAATTACATAGCGTTGTTTCTTATTAAAAACTGAGTCGAAAAGTCCTGAACCATTTTTCTCTGTAATGCTTAATAGAAACAACTTGTTGAGTTAAGTCGAACGAATTAACGCCGATCTTTAGCCGGGAGCACGTCAATGAACCACGCGCCTAGTAGTGTACGTCGCAAACTACTAAGCACGCGGCTCATTGACGCCCGGCTAAAGATCAGCGCGAATTCGTTCGAGTTTACTTAACAATAATTCCTTTATTAAGCATTATAGAGAAAAATGCTTCAGGACTCTTCGACTCAGTTTTTAATCAGAAACAACGCTATGTAATTCGTGGGCGGTCCTTCAGAGTCACCATGTATAGTAGATATCATATTCAAGTCGAATCGATAAACGGAGATGTTGATTCGACTTCAATATGATATTATTATAATTAAAATATAACTTAGATTGTGGTCACCTATAGAATATTGTCCATATATGATCTCACTAGATTCTTCATCGACTTGTGAACCCGGGCAAACGCAATGCTTTAAACTTATCTGATGTTTTACCGTCCCGAACGATTTAAAAAATTGAATTACAATTTTAGTAGATTTTCCGAAGATAATATTTAACGACGGGATGAGGTGCCGTGCAAGCAAGTTTGAATCTGTTGGTGTAATTTGGGACTATCTGCGAGAATGTTTACCGATTTACTACCCCGAATGCACGCGGGATTTCAACGCGCGGAATGTTTGGAGTTTGAAAGGTTAATAACGAGCGACCATAAGTGCGAAATTTCGGCATTACTCTACCCGAGGACCGGAAGGTTTACTTACCCCAAAGTATCGTCGATTATGATTTCGGTGTACGCCAAGGGAAACCACCCCGTGCTTTGAGTGCGCAGATTTTCGCCGAATTGCCATCCCTTCTGGCGGTCTCCTGGCAAAAAAGGGGTGGAAATATGCAAATCCCCGAAACTCGCTTGCGCTCCGGTCTCATTAACATTTTCGCAATGGTGGCTCTTTTCAATTGTAAACATGAAAAAAATTTAACCGGGAGAAAAGAGCAAATAACAAATTTATCTCGTTGCCGCTAAATATCTCCGGTGCGTGCAAAACACCGTCGGCATGAGCTCGAAATTACAGTTAATTACAATGCTATTAATTAATTATTCTACGCTAAATATTAACAATTAGAAAACTAAATATCAATCGAAAACGGATCATCTCATTTTGGTATCGTCGATGTTACGAGTAATACCAACACGAGTCCCAATCAAGTGGCGTATTCCGCACGAAAAGATATTAAAAAAAAGTAAGATGAAGCAACGTATCTTCATCTCTCCTGGCGCGGCCGCCGACCTCTGCTCATTGCTCGATAGCCACGAGTGCCACAGTTCTAGGACACTGTGTGTATCTACAACGTCACGAGATCAGACTTACCCATCAGCGCGATGAGATCACCCTCCAGAAAGCTCAGCTGATTCTCCCCCGAGCTGAGATAGGCGAAGAGAGCTCTGGCAAGGGGGGCGTCCCCCCAACCCCCGGCGCCGACTCCGGTGCCACCCGCGCTGCTGCGGGACGTCGGGGGCGCCATGGATCGAGGTCGGGGTGGGGTCTCTGGAACCTCTGGAAACCAGAAGCGCTGTAACTGACCGAGCTCGTGAACGGCGTGGAGGCAAAGTGCGGCGCGGATGGGAGAGGGGGGGAGATGAGGATGAGCCTGGGATAATGCGGGGGTAGTTTTGGGGTGAACCAGGGCAATTAGGTCAGCGTACGATAGGGACGGCCGAGGTGAATGTCGAAAGGAGAATGGGCATCGCCCCCGCAGGGACATGGAGGGACATGGAGGGACAGAGGAGGAGGAGGAGGGGATGGAACTCGCGAGAATTGTCCAGAAATATCAGCGGTGTATTATTAATGTACGGCCATTCGTACGTCGTGGTAAATTAATTCCAATTCGCGCGAGTGTACGCCGGTACCAAATGCGAGGCAGCGACGTTGATTTCCGACGTTGAATCGTCCCGGCGGGCGCGGTAAGATTAATTAACGGTTTAAATGCAACGTCGCGATAAACGCGCAACGAGAATATTTATACCCGCCGCGTGTATTTATAATCGTATTTATAATTATCTGTTTTTTTTTTCTTTCACTTCGCTCTTTCGGTCTCGGGAGGGAGCAGAGGGGCTCGCCGTAAAAGCGGCGCGTGTAATGACGAGCGTGATGGATCGGCGTGACACGCGACACCGCGGCGATGAAATGCAGTCTCGGGTCGCGTTGCACAAACGAAAGCATATTCCGTTTTTATTGCGCGCGGGACCCGATTCCGGGACGCGCCGGAGAGCCTCGGGTTTCGACGCGAGTCGTCCGAATCTGATCGCGGCTGAAATTTATACGACCGGCGCGACAGGTCTCGCGAAAAGCGAGTGGAAACGTCAGCGCGAATGGCTCCATTTCGCCGATTTTTCTCGATTGTCCCTGACCAGTTGACAGCCCGTTGCCGCTGTTGTTGCACGGTAGCACGCGATGCACGGTACAATGGACGGGCGATCCGAAGATAAATCATTCCGATTCGAATGAGTCGTGTATTTTACGCTCATACGCATTTTAATTGGAGCGGAGGGAAGTTATTTAACGTCATTTAAAATCCAGGCCTTACGTTTAATAACGTCATTCCGCTAATTACGTTCATTAAACCAACTATCCGAAAGGATATCTGCATTATAATAATATGCAATATATGACAGTTTAATTGTTCCACGTGCAATTACTGAATTATTTGGCCGGCTATATGCCGTTTAGTTTAGTCCAATTCAGCTTAGTTCGGCGCAGTTGCAAATTAGTTTAGTCGAGAGTTCGGTTAATTTTATCCCCCAAGTGCAAGGATGGTTGATCCGGGGAGCGGCGAGTTTTCGGGAAGGGCGCGCGTAGCCCGGCGCGAAAAATCGATATCATTGTCGCAGAAAAAAGAAAGGAAGCGGCAGAACCGACGTACCGGGGCCAAGGGATAACGTCGAGGCGTGCAGGTTGGCCTCCGACCTTGCTCTGGCAAGAGCAGGCGGGAGATGGAACGCCGGGCCGAGATGGCTGCCGGACGACGGTGGGTTTCCGGGTAGCGGGCCCAGCCGTAGCTCCAGGCAGGAGCTGTCCATGCTCCGTGTCTTTCGCAAATGTGAGCTCATCGTCGTCAGCTCGGAGCCGCCGTTCTCCTCGTCTTCTGGCCAGAACGACGTTTGCTGCGAAAACGTAGATTCCCATACAACTGCAATTCCGTGACACGCCTCGGCAATATGCCTTGACGATATTTTTCATTATGTATATATGATATGTACATATACTCATATGTATAGTACGTTACGATCTGTTAAAACCCTAGAGCAACGCTGCAGCTACGACATACAAGTACATAGAGAGTCTCTTGCCGAAGAACAGAAGGTCAAGAAGTTTCTTTACTTTTACCTCCATGATTGTCCTTTTTGAAACAATCGATTATTGCATATTATTGTTCTTACAATTTAAAGTTTCTGGAACATTAATTAAAAAAATTTATCTCAACGTCTTCAAAAGTATTGAATATTTCTTAGAAGAGAAGTGTTTTCCGTGGGACACGTACGTCCCATCTACTTAAAAAAATCATATCTTCCATAAAAAGCAACAAATTGACTTCGTCAAGGTCTCATTTTAAAGAGCAAGGTAAGCATTTAAATACGCAAAAATTGCTGAGGGCAGCCCTTCAGCTACACACCCTGTCAAAAAATGTCCAAAGTCACGAAAAGATAAAGAATAAGCACGTATTTCAGGCAGGATTCTTTTGTTTATCTTCATGTACAAGTTTTGAAATGAAGTCAAAATTATATGCAAAAACCCCGCGAGAAAATCTACCCCTAACAGCGATAATACGCCGAAAAACGTCACTTAAAGTGGGAAAAAAACCACACAAGTTAACAACTGCATTTAAGCATATTTCTTGCAAAGTAACAATTAATAAACAGTAATTCGCGTATGAAAAAAGTAATAAACTACAATTAAACCCTCCGCCTTCTAACAATAAGAATCACAGGGGTTGAAATCGAGAATTGATGACCACCGGATTTCGACTTGTAATGTTTCTGAACTACAGGGGTGTTTCCTCTAATGTAGGGGCTGTTTGTAAAGGTAGTAATGGTCCATAAGTTTTTTACGACACATCTCCTGTTTCAGAGTATTTTTTTCCTGAATTTATATCGGAGTAAAATAACAGCAAATTAGATTACAACTTTTTCACGTTTTAGGGATGGCTTTTACATGCAGGAGTAGTTTAACAGGTAGGAAAATTTTGAAAATTTTAGCTTTACATATTTGATACCTGCTAACTTTCATCCTCCACGAGTCGAGTGTTGTCGAAGCGATTCTACATTTTTTGCACCTTTTGCCCCTGAAACTGTCAGTTCATGAAAACATTTGTGTAACATACAAATTATGTGGCTTGTATATTACACAAATGTTTTCACGAAGCGACCGTTCTAGACGCAAAAAGTGTAAAAGGTGCAGAATCACCGCAGCATCCCGATTTATATAAAGTTCTATGCGGAATCCATGCAAGAAGCGGTAAGAATGTTAATAATCTCTGCAAAAGGTATGTTGGGCAACGCGATTAAACGCCAAAAGTTGCTAGAATGAGTCATCGCGCTCTCGGAATCGCGCGAATCGCGGAGAACACGGAGTCTGAGAGACTTGCGCGATCGGCCGCGCGAATTTACCCTGAGTCTGGAAGCGAACATGTCCTCCACCGACTGGGGCAAGTATTCCCTGGTGGCGGCAACCTCGCGCCATTTATCAACCGAGGGATGAAGCGCGGCCAATGCAACCTCGTGGAAACTCGCATAGTGCTTCGCCAAGGAGCATTGTCGTTCCAGTACGAAACCGTATCGCCGTCTCTCCTGAGTCATGGCCTGTGAAAAGAACGCACAAAGGGTCCCGGGTGTTAATAAACTCGCTCCGTTAATGAATCTCATCGCGTAATCCATCATCCCCGCATCACCCCCAGCGTACTTAACTCTTATTCATCTACCGCGAAAAAAGATTCTCGCATTATATACCGCGTTCGCGTTTTTCAAAATGCGGGGGTGGGGGGAGCTTGATAACTCAACGGTGATTGATAGCGCGACAGATTTGATCACTTACATTCTTCAGACTCTGCTCGCAGAAGGAGTCGAGCTTGGTCTTCTCCTCCTCGAGGATCTGCATGTTCTTGAGCTCCTTGTCCATGGCGAGGCCGCTCTTATTGGCCGCCCTGGACTTCTTCCGCTGCTTCTTCATAGTCGCGGCCGCCTTGCTGTAGGTCTCGGATCTGGTCTTGTGTTGCTGAAGAAACTTCTTCTGTTCGCTCTGAAAGTCCGTTACCGGCGTTGCATTATTCAACGTCGCCGGAAGTCGGGGGTTCGGGGACTACTAATGTTCCTTCCGGGAACCATGATTTTCGGTGGTTTACTTACCTGGACAACTTTCGTGTCCTTCTCCAGGTTGGTCTCCAGAGGCACCAGCAGATCCACGTAGAACGCCTTTAACTGCAACGTAAGGGTCGACAAGAATGTTATTGCGCATACACGATGCCTGTTTCACCTAGCGACACTAATTAATTGTAATAATATTTTCTTTATATCACAATAACTTTCATACAATAAATGTTGTAGAGATTAATATGTTGTTATTATATAATTTCATAATTTGTCGCGCTTTCGTTATCACTCCAACAGTAACATCCATTTGGGAAATGAACGTGGACGTGGTTTGCTCACGTAAATTAATACAGATATAATAAAGTAATCTTTTTAAGTGGGAAATAATTAACGGACACCGTGCTGGGCAATAAACGTAATTAGAGGCGGGTCGAACATCCTTCCGACATTTAAAAGCGGCCTAGGGAGGAAGAGATTAAGGCGATCTTAGCGTCCTCGCGGCTGGTGCTGAGAGAGCGATGTTTCTTTATTTCCTCGCCGTCTCAGGTTCGCTCTACGTGAGCTTTAGGTGGTTTACGAGTCTCTCCCGAGCCAGACCTAATTTATACTCGCAGGAGTGGTCCTTGGTTGGATGCGTTCCGACGGAAAACGCGGCAACGACGGCGACGCGCTCTTTATTCCTTTTTATTAGCATCTCGAGAGGGAAAGAGAAAGCGCGGCAAGCAGGAGTAGTGAAAGCAATGCGTGAAATTTCGCGTAATGGGAAAAGAGTGTAATATGCCGGTACAACAATAGAATAATGGCGTAATACGAGCCGCGGCGGGACATAAAGACTCAAGTAAATGACAAACGATGCTTCGAGCGCAATTAGAAGAAGCGGCGTGGCGCGTGAGCGCGATAGCGTGGCGCAATTTCGCCCGGCGCGGCGGAGCGGGCATAATCGTATAAATAAATGGGAAATCGAATCTCCTTAGACGCGTTCGCCGAACCTCGTCGCCACAGTTCCGACCCGACATTTCGATTCTCGCCAATCTGACCCTAATTCCGGCCAGATCGCCGCGCGTCGAGACGCGAGACCGCTCGGCGTCGAAATCTCGACTCGAAAATTCGACTCACGCCGGGGGAATCAAGCCGGAGCTCTCCTCCGAGGTCGATCATCCCTTAGACCCCCCTCCCCCCTTCGCAATCAAATCACTATTTCCCCCGTTCTCCCATTTTCCATCCGGTCAAACAGCGTCGGGACACGTTCGCGCAGCACGATTTTCCAGCCGCGATAATGATATGCCTCCGTGTTTGCCAGCCACTTCGATCCATCAACGTATTAACCCTTTCGGACCCCCCGCCCGTCCGACGTCGTCCGACGTCGGGCGTTTCTTCGAGGGCTACCCCGCGCCCTTCTCCCGCGACCCTCTCGGCCAGCCCTCCCCCGCCCTCCCGCCGCTCCCCACAGGCTCGCGTTTCACGAGCAAGTTGTTTGTTTTGCAGTTCGAGCACCCTTCGCCTCGCTTTTTGTGCGTCGCTCAAAGGCAGGCGGATTGCAGTCGCTCTCGTTGCTATGGCGGCGGTGCGTGGCAAAAGAGGAGGAGGGGCGGGAGAGGGGAAGGAGGGGAGCCTGTCTTTTTTTATCCGCGTTTTTTATTCCTCCGCCCCCCCCCCCTCCCTCCTACCCCTCGTTAAACACGCGAATCTCTACGCACCGTGAATTTAATCCGCGAGCTTTTAGGGAACGCCGGCGATTTTTATTGGGAAATTCTGCACTCTTTAGATCTGATTGTGAGCGGCCGCCGCCGCGCCGCCATGCTGAGTCCGCGTGGGGACGAGCGAACGAGCGTCTTTTACCGCGCATTCCCCGGCTCGCTCCATCGCGCCTCGCCCCGCCACGTCCATCGAGAATTACAGCGCTTCCGGGAAAGCGTGGGCGAGCGGGCTCTTTCGCGCCGACTTCCGGTCGCGGCGCCGGACAGATCGGAAACCCGAATTTCGGCCAATAGCGGAAGATGTCAAAAAACGATGAAGTCTATACTTGTTTTGTTACAGAGGAGCCATGATTGGGATGTCTGACACATTCTAGGGTTATTTTACGTTACACATGTCAAATACGTATCTATGAAACGTGTCTAAAGCTACTTCGTCTATCTTACCTAATCTATAATTTATTTGAGCGAATAGATTTTTTTATACTTCTAAACTTAGTTTTAATACCATACTGTTCTCTGATTTGGTTCAAATAGTGGGGCACTGTCGATCTGTACGCAAAAGCCGTATAATTTGTGTATTACGCAAATGTTTTTACAAATTGACAGTTCTAGGAGCAAAGGGTGCAAAAGGTGCACAATCAGTCCAGCACCTCCTTAAGAGGATCCTAATAATTGAGATTAGCAATTGCTGACCTCAATCATTTATAAAGTGATAGTTTTAATTTCTCTTCTTTTTTTTTATATAAAGACTGTTCCTGGTTTTGTCCTTATGCGTACTTTAATCGTGTGGAAGAATTTTGCAATTTTATAAAGCCAATTTCAAATTTAGTTAAAACTTCGAATTGAAAATTTCAACTACCAATATCTTTTTTATTAGACTTCTGAAGTGAGTGTTTTAAGTTCTGCTATGCGGTCCGCAACTTATCCTGGTATTATTTTGTGCATAAAAGCTAATAAAAAGAATTACAAGCGCAAAAAGTATATTTGACTGTGTCGGTAAAAAAGGTGGTTGAAGGATCCCCTTAATTGACGATACGTGTGACGTAAATGAAATTTTCAAATCCAGACGATCGTAATTATCGGAGAGGAGGAAGAGGAATTGTTAGAAATGCTGCGAATATCTTCCTTAGCGAATCTCGCGTTAAAAGTTATCGATCGAAGTTATTGCGGAGATACACGTCCGCCAAAAAGCTGCAAAGTAATGCAAGCTACGTGAGTTTCGCTCGGCGCAGCCACCCTGCGCCCCGCTGGACTTGGCACTCGCCTTTCTCTCTCCCCGGAGCGGCACTTCCTCCGTCCGCTTCTTCCGGTCGCGCTCGAGATAATCTTCGTCTGGAGTGCGTTTTTCATCGGCGAATCGTGACGCAGCACGCGTACGCGGTTGTTTGTTTCTTCGGGAATTCCCCCAGAACCGGAGAGCGTTGACCCTTGCACTCGCGGAGTATCCCCAAACGTAAATCAGCTATTCTTCGTCATTTACCATATTTCGATCGATTTGCTGCTAACATTCATAGATTTCTAACGTTCAGAAGAACGAAAACCTTTTGACGAAAAGAATTATAAAAATAATCTGTGTATAAAAGGGAATTCATTCTTCGTTGAATTTTCCAAGGGAACTTTATTTTGATAAAATTTTACGTTCTTATGTTTATACCGCGACCAACTTCTTTAATGTAAAAAATTAAAAGTTTCCGTAACGTCCCTTTGCTTTTAACATTCCACGTGGTAGTCGCGGTCTTCTGTATAAATATATCGTGTGCACAAAAAACAAGTAACAGAATTCCATTATGTTTTGGCGGAAAAAGCTGCGCCGAACTTAACGTTACTTAATTACCGCGGCTGAGAGAGAGTATGTTCTTAACTTACTTGCGGATTAGATTGGATTAGGTCGCTGGAGAGACATTTTCTCAGAGAAGTCGGCTGGAACGAAATTGTAAAATACGGCAGTATGAGCGCACGGAAAAGTGGGAGAGAAAGAGAGAGTTGTAAAGTCGTAATAACCACATGTCGTTATGGTCGCAATGAGATTTCATGTTCAAACGAAACGCCTGCGGGATGTAATGTCGCCCTCGAGCCAAGCGGAGGCGAGCCGCAGGATCAAAGAGGCTCCTGCGGACTTCCGTGTACCGTACAGCCGTTCTATAGGATGTCATGCAATCGACGATGAAGAGAGAAAGAGAGAGAGACAAAGACGTGAAGGGATGTTTTCTCAGGTTCTCAAGAAAATGGCTAGACAAAAAATGGCAATGTCATTTCTAAATAACATTTCATTTTTAAACAATTACACATCTGCAATTAAGTGAGCAGATTAAATGCGACCAGTTATTTATTTCGTCTGAAGTTATCTCCGAAATTGTTAACGTTTCGAACAGCGACCCTCGAGAAGACGGTAAAAAGGATCCTTTTTATTCGTCGAATATATAAATAAGCAAAGAGAAATGTGAATTTCCACTAGATAGGCTTGGCACTAGACGATGGCGAAGAGGACATCTTTACGAATCCTGGCAGACACGACCGTCTGACGTAATCCCCGGAAATGGACGGTGCCAGGGTGGAAGACAGACGGAAAAAATGAGGGAGGCAGACAATACGCCTGCTTTTAGCTACCCCACGAAATGTCTTGGAATATTATTCGATCGTGATAAAAAGTCTTCCCAAAAAGGCTTGAAGAATCCCGACAAACGAGCGTATTATTCAAATTATTGATAGATTGTTAAGATTCAAAATCTTAACTGATTGTGAGTATTATCACAGATCTTGTAGCGCTATAGTAGCAGTTTCTTGCCGGAACGCACTCACTTCTTTCAGTGTATGGAGTATCATATTAAAATAAAAATTAGACACGAATTAATATCGCGTGTGCTTAAAAATCTTTTGCAATAATAATAAATGTCTACGAAAATCATAGAAAAACAGTTCTTAAGAAAAGAAAAATATCGAGACCTTAAAAGTTTCTCTTTTAAAAATTACACTTTTACTGTTGCACTTACGATGTTCATCTCCTGTTCCTGGATCTCCTTGTACACCTCAACGATTCTCATCAGCGCGAAACCTGCAACAAAAAACGGACCTCGATTAGACCCTCCGATCGTCCTGGGCCGGGACACCTCTCGCGAGATCGAAGCGACTGGAACTTTCGTCCTGAATTATTCAGACGCGGTTGGCGTCGCCGATACTTTAATCCAGCGCGGGGCCACAACGGCGGGAGAGAGGGGGAGGGGGTGGAGAACGAGGGTGAAGCGCGGGGGTGAGTGCCGCGACGGCTTAAAGCGGCGCGTTACGATACCCGTGGCCGCCCGCCCTCGAGTGACTTCTCTGCCGAAAGCTCGCGAAAGCTCGCCGCGGGAAAACAAATGCTCGCGCGTCGAGCTCGATCGAGAAAGTTTCCGCGGAGAGAGCGGAAACTTTTCCCATGGAGAACACTTCCCGCCACTATCTCCGCGCTCCTCTCTCTCTCCCTCTCGGATCTCGGGTCTCTGCTCAAAAGGATTTCACGTTGCTTTCGAATGAGCTTGCGGATTTCACGTTGGCGTGAACTTGGACGGGGAGCTTATAAAATAACGAAACAAAAGGAAAATAAATAAATTACCGCATCGAGCGCGGAAAGTTTCGCGGTAGGTACTTGGCGTTTACGTGCCGAAAGGAGAGATTATAAAACTTCGCCTATTCAAGCGACCTCAATTTGCAGCAATTAAAAAGTCGTGCGATACAAACCGCTCGTCGTGCCTCTCGGCAATTAAAATTGCTTTCCCCCTCCCCCCTGGCAAAACATTTAGATACCAAGGGGGTAATCGCTATAGTTAAAATGTTGTCCCACCGATTACATGATTTCATTAGATTTCATACGATTTTATCTGATTACAAATAATTTTATCTAATTGCAAACAATTTTCGTATATGCACGCTTAAAAATAGGCGACGTTGTTAAGAGCTGTTAGATTTCCTCAAAACATTATATCTTTTTGATTTTACTAATAAGTATTTGCTTGTAGAGGTAATTTCAATTAAGATTGTAGTATTCGGTTAGTATTTGTATCTACTGTTTATGGTTCTCGAAATTTGCGCGCAAAGGTGTATCAACTCACTGCCCTAACAGCAATTGCTTCAGTCTTATCATGAAAAAAATAATACGCGCTTATAGACGTAAACTATGACATATCTTTGGATATTCACTAAAAGAAGTAATTTTTGGGGGGAAATGAAAACAAGTTGAGAAAATGTTCAATGTTCATTATTGTCTAACAAGTGAAGAAACTTGACAATAAAAGCAAAACGATTGCATGGAGATTTCGTAAGGATTTAATAATGATTTCGGGAACACTGTCCCATGATTACGTTAAGTAGTTACCCCCTTGTTAAATACGGTTGACCGTTTGACCGGACAGTTTCCCGCGCTACCCCTTTAACCAGTCATTTCGCGAATGCGAAAGTTACGCGGTGGTAAATGAACGGTAAGTGCCGTGCGCGTTTTTCATACGTGCCGCGCGCGAAACGTACGCTGTAAAACACGTCGACGTTAAATAATATATTTCTTTTACATCCTCCCCCGCCCGGTCGTGAATAATAAAAGAGACGAATGTTCCCCGCATGGATTTTCCGCCGCGGAAGGAGCCCGCCGCGAGAAGATATCGGCGACGGGCGCGGCTCCTCGGTCACGTGCGACAAATATCGCCTAACGCACGTGACGGCGGATACCGGCGAGCGTTATCTCGTATATTTCACCCCCGCCATGCGAGGCGATATATCCGCGCGTATCCGCGCGCGATTTTTACTCCCGCGAGTTTTGCATTTTATCGAGCGGCAACTCGATATCTCGAATACACCCTCGGCGGATGTATTAGTTATTCCGCGGTGTTATATTCGCCGTTTTTTTGTTGCTGTTGTTGTTCGGAGTACAGGTGCGAGAACGACCGTATAGCTTTGCCGCGCGGTTCTACGAGCGTACACCGGGACGCGCGCGTTGCAACTCGTCGGATCAGTTGAGAGTGCCATCGTGATCTTTTGCAAGCGAATAGAGAACCAAGATGTAGTGTATTCTTCACTCTAGCCTTTAACCCTTTGAAGCATACATTTTTCTATTGAACCATTTTTGTGAAACTTTGTATACAAGTTTTTGAGGTCGCTGATTACGAATCCGTTGTCAGATTTTGATAATTCGAAATGTTTCATATCAGATCAAATAATTCAACTTCTTTCATATTTATACAATCTTGAAGGGAAGAAAATGCGAAAGTACTTTGGTTTCATTTTATCTGTCTTCAGTATCGAAATATAGAAACTATATAGAAGGACTCTCTTACAAACATTTCAGATTGCGTAAAATTTTCATCATTCTATTCTCGCGAAATACAACAAATAGAATCTGCTAGCATAGAAAAACAGATGAAATGCCAACTGTTGAATATCTGACAAAATTTCGTTAAATCAGAAGATCAACAATTCATATAAAACTTTGGATAAAAATTAGGAATCTAAAAGTCTCGAAGAGTATTTTGACATAAAAATTATAGCACTCTATTGTACGAAAATGAAAAAGAAAGTCGATTTCGTAATTTATTATGGATCGTTAATTACGTAAAACATTAATTCACGCAAAAACAACCACGTTTGACTCTCTTACTAGTAATGTTAATATCGAAAGTCGTTAGTTCTTCGATCATGTATCTAAAAATAAAATCTTCAAAGAAACAATACCTAAAAAAAAAGAGTATTTCTAAGAATTTTCTTTCGGAAAGAAAAACTTGTAAGTAAATTTCAGATTTGACTTAAAAAAATTCCCATTAGAGTTTTCTAAGTCACTGATTATAATTCATTAAACCCAACCGTGTTTAACGGCGTTAAATCTCATGGTCTCCACGGGAAGTTTATCTTTGTCCCAGATCTCCATCGATTCCGCCGATCCTGCCCCTGAATTTCGCTTAAACCCCGATGATCCTGGGGCGCATAAATTCGGATACGGCGATGTGGCGGCGTGTCCGGCGAATTTTAGTATCCACGCGAGGTAAAATACGCTCCCTTATTCTCCCTGTCTCCAGCAAACTGCGGGATCACGTGCAGCTGCAACGACAGCTATTACCTGGTCCTTAAATGAAAGGCTAAGGATAGCAGACAACGTAGACAAAGGGTGCGCCCGTCGTGTCTCAGCCATACAGTATCGTAATCCTCCGCCCACGGGAGACTCCAGGCGGAGAAGCCCGTTTATATGTGCACCACGACATATACAGGGTAGCCCGGGAAAATCGCCACGCGGGAGCGCCTTCGCTATCCACCGGGATCCGCAGGATACAAATGTCAGATCCACGAGATTCTGTGGATTTTATAGATTCGAGAGACTCATAGATCTCAGATAGCGGGAAGCCTCCCCGGATTATGGCGATTCTCGACGGTATGAATCTTCAAAGACTCGTCGGATTCGATACATGCGTGCATCCCTAAACTCGTGGGTTTTGGACGTCACGGATCCCCGAACGCGTGCACCTAACTGACGAATGAGAGAGAGAGAGAGAGAGAGAGAGAGATTTTCGAAGGACGATTCTTTCAGACGCTACTTTCGTCAATAACGATTCTTCTTGTTATTCAGAACTGTTCCGCAACGTGTCGTTTCTGGCAACGCAGAAGCGGCGTTGTCCGAGAACCCCTCACAAAATATCCCGTGGATGTGATCCACCCATGCGAAGTATCCCCACGAAAGCTGTTCGGAGCTTTTCCGCATGACTTCCCCCATCGACCGCCCCCTCGTCCTCGCGAGCGGATTTTCCGCGGTCGCCATGGATCCGTTGTTCCTGCTTACGGTAAGCGTTAAACCCCTGTGCGACGAGCATTAGCTCTATCCCAACGAAGCCGCACGCTTACCGGGGGTCCTAAAGCCCCGCAAGCGTCGTTATGCCCCGTTACACGTCTCTCCTCCCGCCGCGACACGTGGACGCGCAAGAGAATACAGTAGGGGAGACACCGAGCCACCAATTAGGTGAAATAAAGTAAATAAAGCCCGCTCGAAGTTGTCGCGGGACAAATAACTTGTCCTCTCTCGAAATCGAGCCTGTCGTCTTGTCAGCTTGGGGAGACGGGAACGTATCTTTCAGATTTATGCGATACTTATTCGACGTTCGACGCGCGGCGCACGTCGTTACCGCTGACGGGCATCCAATATCGCGGCAAACTAGGGGAACTCCGTTAAAGCAAGGAACCGGTAATCCAGGAGGATGGCAAGATAATATACATCTCAGATAGGGTAACCCAAGAACATCCCGGGCGAGCCTTGTCGTCGTGTAACGCGATCGCATTAAGCGTACCATTTACAACCGTTCGGCGCGAAACTACCTGCGACGTGTCGGCGGCCCTCTTCGTCGAGGCCCTCCTTCGCCGCCCTTCAATCTCGACGTTAATGCATCCAACCGGCTATGATAGGGCGGCGCGGCGCGCGCTCCTCGTGCGGGGTTTCTCTCTTGTTACACAATGGGAAGCCTCGCGTTACAAGTGTAAACGGGAACCGGCGACGCCTGAAATACTACGAAGCCTCCGCCCAACCCCACACCCTCGGGTGTGAAAGTACACGCGAATGTGCGAAAGCCCTTTAAGGGCGGACGCCCTTAGACGTCGCTCGAACGGCTGGCTCTTGAATATTTGCGCGGCAGAGAAATTTTGCAGAGACATCGCGACGTAAATCGCGCGATGTTGGAGTCCGCTACTATAATGCCTCGTCATATTCCGTCAAGATTAAATTTAATTGTTAGTCACTTCGGTTAATGTGTCTGTTGCTACGACAATGCCACTTGTCCCCCCGCGTTACTTCCATAGAACCGAGAACGATCTCGTGTGTGAGACTTGAAAATGTTGGGAATATTAAGGGAATGCTGGAGTGTGTGTGTGTGTGTGTGTGTGTGATTCTGCACTTTTCGCACCTTTTGCTCCTAGACCTGTCAATTCGTAAAAACATTTGTGTAATATACAAATTATGTGGCTTTTGTCTACAGACCGACAGTGTCTTACTATTCAGTCAAAGAATAGCATGGTATCATTGAAAGTAAGCTTAGGAGCTTAGCAAGAAGTCAT